ACAATTAAGCAAAAACCTTCCAGAAAGTATGTTTCTTAGTGAATCAGTCTTATTGGCTGTTCCATTAGCTCGGAGTCGCCTCAGCGAGTCATTCAAACAAGCCAGAGTTTTTATATATATATATATAAGTTCCAGAACAATAAAACTTGGGGACCCTTCATCAGAGAGTAAACTGTAACCTTAAAAAAAGAGAAAAGCTGCTCTCGTTTTTAAAAAGCAGATGGCTCAGCAGAAGGCAATATTTAGCTCATATATTAAACTTTTGTATTAAATTTCTCTGAATGCAAGAACTGTAGAAATGAAACACTTCAGTGTCACTAACTAAATTTGACTGTTTCTCCACTAGGTGGCAGCAAATATTAATCTGTTTTCTTCATGGCCCATAATACAATCATAATCAATGCATTAAAACGTAACTGACACACTAATTTCAGTATATAAGAAAAGGATATCATATAGATCAGTTCCAACTGCTCCTATTACCTGTTCTCAAGCTAATCTAAAGACTACATAAAGTAATGAAGCCTGAAACCATTTGATGCTGCAGAAAGCTGGTGATTCTGTGACTTCACATGGTCTGACATTCAGTAGCCCTGGATTCCACTGAGCCTAGGGGGGTGACCCATTTGTTCACAGATTGTAGGAGTCTGGATGCTCTCTCTATAGCTGAGGCCATGGAAGCAACTAGAAAATCTGAACTCACCTGAGTCATAACAATTGCATACAACATTAAGTCTGTTTATAAGTATATATATAATTGTTTAATTATCTTTAAAAGTCAAATAATTAGTGAATTGAATTAAAAATGAATGGAATGAAAATGTCACAGATTTTTACATTCTAGACACATTTTTACTGAAAGACCTCAAAATGAATGAATCAATGAAACTAAAGCAGAACTTTTCAACCATAAGTAAAACGCTATATCAAATCCCCCCAAGAGCATAAGCCACTGGAACATGGCTGTGGGAGTATCAAGCAGTTGGAGAGCTTTTTCAGCAGACATTAAATATTTGCTGTCCTGATAAAGCTTCAAGACCATCCAGACCTTGTGGTTCAAGTCTATTTATGAAGCAAAGAATCCAAACCAAACATAAAGAAGCAGCGCTCAAATTCTAAGATAATCTGCAACAGACTTCCAACGAACTGCAAAACCTCTGTGAGTCAGATATATTATCCTCATTAAAGTTCAAATATACCTGGATACATGCTACCTGGTCATGGCAAACAGCAAACAGGTTTAAATTGGAAGGCAACAGGACTCTTAATTCAGTTGGATGATTTGCTGATGTATTTAAGGAGCATAGAAGGTTCATCCTCCTAATTACATTCCAATGAGATGAAAATGAAACAGCCACCCCCAAACTTAGAATACAATTTCTATAGTTAACTTTGATTGGTTTGAATAAACTACAAGTTAAAACATATATTTCAGTATCTGTGAATTGTAATGTTTCCATTTGTATTTACTGCAGTTTTCAATATGTAAAGCATGTTTGGTTTTGATTCTGAAATGTTTTGCACAAATAAACTTACCTTGCCTGTTACATCGAATTCTTAATAAACAAGAGCTCCCAAGTTAGCGCCCACTTGATTTTTTTATTTTTATTTATGGTTGCCACCATTGCCTATGTATTTACTTTCAACATTTCATCTCTCTGTATATCCAAACAGAGGACCTGTCCCAATTAAATTATTGTGGAAAACATCAGTTCTGACACGCAACAGACAGCCAATACCAAGTTAATATCAAGGTGTAATAAACCCACATCTTCGATGATAATTATCCTAACAAAATATTATTTTATTCTAGGATAATATGCAAGAACATTTTTGTTTACCGTATATCTCCACAGACTATGTTACCATTTTCTTTTAGATTTATTTTGAAACCAAGTAATATTATCCATTCACATTTTGCAAGGTTAGAACATAAAAAGAATAGTTCTTTAAAATGTCAAATTAATAAAATGTATCTATTGTCTTCAATTCTTTTGTTATGCACTCTTTTCTGCAGTCACTCACACTAGTTTTCATGTGATCCAACCCTAGGAGCTACTAAGAAGGGATCCAAAGACAACCAATTTTTAATTTAACTGTATATTACTAAAAAGCAATTCCTATCTAAAATCTCTTGGTAAGTATTCATGAACCATGTATTAAAAGAAGATTTCTATGGCATTTTGGAAATTAAGACCTACAAGATAATTTCCCTCCTTAAGAGAACATGTAGGGATGGGTTTTTTTTCTCTACGCTTTGCTGTGGTACAGTGCGCTCTGGAGATTTTTTTTACTTCGGTTACTCTCCTCCTTATTGCGTCTGGTGGCAGGTAAACATGGGACCACAGTTAAACCTAGTGATAATGGTTAATATAAAGGGGCCTCTGTATTAACTCCAGAACTACTAAGAATTCCAACCAACCTAAAAAGTAAAGTTGTATTTCAAACATTTTAATAACATGTATTTGTAAACATTCATTTGGAATACCAACTGTAGTAGTGTTAAACACATTTTTTTTTAATTGATAAGTTTATTAGCTCAATTAACGTTCTTAAATTAGATGAAGGATCTTTTGGAAGGAGACAATTCTTCTAGATTAAAATGCATTTACATTTTACAGATCTAGCTTTAGAAGGGGACATTGAGTAATATGATATGCAGTCGTTAATAGTGGTAGATTAAGACAAAGGGAAACTTTAATCTAAAGCGCTCTGATTTGAATCTGTCTGCAAGTGCATTTGAATGCAGGCAAATTTGTGTTTTGATGTCTCTATCATAATATGCAAATGTATTCCTCCAAGCCTACAGTATGTGAACTGCAAAGTCCCTGCAATTGCATTCTGTTTCTGCCCTTGTTTCTGTCCCAGAGGGAGTGTACTCCACTGTTCACAAAACAAACTACTTTTGATGCATGGAGGTGAAAATATTTGTTTAACCTTTTTCACCCTTGTGGTTTTCTTTTGTTGTCTGGGATTGTGTTGAACCCCTATGGGATCTAAATATTCCCTTTGAGCATGGGCACAAGGAGGTTGCACCAGCTTTTTGCATAAATCCACATGTTTATGTGTGTGCGTGTGTGTGTGTGTGTGTGTGTGTGTGATAAGCCAAATTATTGGACTGATTTCCTTTTTGCAAAAGTAGTCAGTCATTTCCATTACAATAGGCAATACAAGGTTAAAAATAGCATTTTTCTATTTTAATAACTTAGGTTGCCTGTTTTTCACATCTGTCTTGCTATTATGTGATTGTAATTGGATGCAGGGATATAAGATGGAAATCCAACCTGTTTTACCCCTCAAGGTACTGATTCCCAAACAAAGACTAGTTGTTGATCATACTGCCTTGTGCTACAGTTAATGCTCTTTTAAATCCCCTTACAAACGTCAACCCATTTGCAAGATCAACTGTTGTCATTGCCAGAACTGACCCCAGTAAGTGTAGGTTAAGAGGAATGGAAGGAAGGTTGATAAAAACAACAGATCTCTGCTTCTTAATCCTTTTGTGTCGATGGTGTTAATCTGTTCAGGCAAACCCAGTCCCGTCTAATCACCCATTCTTCCTGATTATCCCTCCCCCACCCCCCCACCCCAAACACCACAGGTCCTGCTCTTGCACCATTTACCTTAACCCCAGCATATAAACAACCAAAAGCTGTCCTGAACCTGTTCCTCCTCAACCTCCAGACAGCGGTACAGCAGCACTCTACTGACAAAAAAAACAAAGTCTCAGCTTTGCCTCGGTCCTTGATTTTATTCAGTACTAACATGGCCTCTGAGTACACATTTGAACTGGATTAGTTTTTGTATATTGGTGCACTCACTTTTAATCTTTTATCATTTAGTTAATTCAGGCATATAGCATGTATCTCCCCTATTTTGCTGTTTTTGACACAACAAATGTAAAGAAGACACTTTGGAGCAACACGATGCATTACTGCTGGTGTTTTCATGTCACAGTCTTGTTTACGCACTGCAAGAGGGAAGTGGGAGGAGGAGGTATATGGGAAGGGAATCGCAGTGGTTGCTAGGGAAGAGGAGGTTGTGTCTGATGAGGTCACACCCTGGTAACCCTTTGACTCCTCCCACTACCCCTCCTCTTCTTCCATCTTTGCAATTGTCCCTCTGTGCCCACCCAGTCAACTCTCCGCCTTTTTTTCACCCCCGGAGAACTCTCCGTGGTGCTGACAGCAGAATAACATATTCAAGCTCAATCTTCCTCTAAGCTGCAGAGAGAAAGACGAGCGAGACACATGAAACAAAAACAAAACATGAATGGCTGCAGAGAGAGGTTCTTATTCTAGTGTTTTTGGAATACTAGTTCAAAGGAGCTTTGCAAGAGAAAAGGCAATGAATGAAGGGGTTGGACAGAGAGCAAGAGAGAGAGTCTGACGTATCCGAGTGAGGTGGCTACAGTAGGGAGTGGGTGTGTTCTACTTGTTTTGATGTATAGTTGGGAAGCCCAGTGTCATCCGCTTAAGCACCAAGCAAATGTGCTGAACAGGACAGAGAAAACCGACAGGGAATGCCGAACTCTTGGTCTATCTTAACCAAGAAGACAGTGCGGATGTGAAACCCTTTTTTTATTATTCTTGTGGCACTTTGATCCAATAAAACAAACAAAGGAAAAATCAAGGAAAGAAGATTTTGAAACATTTTAAAAGCCGTCTTTCCTCTGTGGCTGAGAGAAGACTTTGATGTGAAAGGATGTGATATGCATTTTTGTCAAGTGTGCAGTGGCACCTGTGTCATTTTTCTTCAGGATGTGCAAATGTGCACAGAATTGAAGATTACAGTTGGCTCGGAGTTTGGCAGCAATCAAATTGGAGGAGTCCAATTTTTCACCTAGTAGAAGGGAGCATTGGGGAAAGCATCCAATGCTCCCTTCTAGTCCCATTTTCATCTTGGGTCACTGGGACTTTTTCTAGTGGAGCACAATCTATTGGAAAATAAAATGGATGGAGGCCTATGTGGATTTAAGTGCAAGAATGCATGGTTTCTCCAGTTTCTTATTGCACTCTGGACACAGGAAAAGACAGAAGAGACTTTAATCTACACAACAGTAAGGACAAAGAACTTTTGTAAGTATACATCATCATGTTTGTTTTAAGACAAAAAGTCTTGTAAGGGAATAGTTAGAATCATGTCCAACTTACCTATATGATACGTCTACTCATAAATTGCTTTTTGTGAAGTTTCCTCTGTATTGGACTTTTTTGAAAGTCGAACAACTACAGGTTAGCTGAGGTTAACTGTGATGTATTGATGTTGTCTTCATATGTGTAGATGTGTGCAAGCATCCATGCATGTGGCCACCAGACGATTGGCCTTGAAATTCTTTTTGACATTTTGTCTTTAAAATCTTCATGCTGGCCCTCTCCAGTGACATGGTTGCCAGGAAACAGAAATGATGTGCCACCATCAGTTAGTTTTAAAGCAAAGTGCACATCTGTTTCAACTGTTGCAGCCTTTGTCATTTTTGAGCAAACAGCTGGAGGAGGGGTGGGGGTGAAAGCAAAAAAAAAAAGCAAAACGAGGAGAGAGCAACTGAGAATTAAAAAGAATTACCGGTTACTTACTAGTTTAAATAAGAGATTAATACTGTATTTTTACACAAGCAAGTTATTGGAGAACAAAACCTTGAAAAGGCCAGTAAAACACTGTGACAAGCTGATTCCAATATTCCTGATGCAGGGCTACAGGATCGGGCCGGGAGGCTTAATTTAGCTCAAACACTATTTGAACAGTGCTTTCTCATCTGAACACCTATGCTTGTGTACCTAATTTAATTCCTAAAACCTTGTGCTATTTCCCTGTGTTTGAGCTGCAGCTTTGTCTGCATTTGCTTTAGTAACTGAATTTCTTTTATCAAGATACTTTAAAAAGAACAGGATAATTTTACTCCATTTTTTGTTACCCTAAAGTGAACTCTCATATTTTCTACACTAAATCCACATACCTTTAAAAAATTGTCAAGTCTACCTTAAGGGGTATAGTGCTTACAGATAAATCATTTGACCTCCCCTGCATGTTGATGCATTGGTAGAGATGAGATGCAGGGATGCTGAGGATGACCAAACAATGGTTGCCCTCCCTGTTAGGCTAGCAGTCTCCATCTGGCTGCCCTCCAACACCAAGACCCCCCTCACTGCCCTAGCATCCCCACACACACACACACACACACACACACACACACACACACACACAACATACATGCAGTTACCACAAGCCTGTACACACCCATACCCCCTTCCAACACTGCTGTCACACGTAAACAAGCAGGAGTCTTACGCTGATCTGAAAACACTGACCTACATAAAAGCATGCACTCTTCTACTCATCCTCTCCTACCCTCTCTAAATTCAAGTTAAGGCTGCTGCTCGTTTTGCATGTGGTTTTAAGGGCTTTTCAGGCAAATGCATCCAGCAAATATATGGTCTCTAAATATTGCTCCCTCGTGCGCTGAAGTAGATGCAAATCATTTTATTCTAAACTACTTAAAGTTTATGAGTGAAACCTAGAATTTCTTACCACAGTATTACTGTTTTTTTATGGACAATGCAGCAAGGAAGGCAGCAGAGATATATATTTTTTCATCAAAACAGCAGCAACACAAAAACAACATTATTTGTCTGTGCAAAGCTATGCTTCTGTTAATTGAGTTGGCTTCGATTTGTCCGTGCTGATCTTATAAGTCCCAGGAGGGCTATTTGCACATCTGTACCCATCACATGTTACAACCATGGGGAAATGAAAGCTGTCTTTTTAGATTTACATACTCACTATTTGAAAGCCAGTGATTTCATGCAGAAAATGTGCTAATATAACTGAGAAAACAAGCTATTGCTGTGATAGGCTCTCAAATAGGAAGCTAAAAAATAGTCATACATTTCCCAGTATGGTTGTGCACTACCAGCACCACAAAACTTCCACTGGCAATAGAACACACATTGTAAGTCAGAAAGGTTTATAAATATTTGAATGGATTTGTGGACAACCAAGTTTGTTAAATTGTTGTTGTGCTTTAAATGTTTTTGATACTCTTGGCTTTCTTAGCATAAGGAAATACAGTGCCGTGAACAAGTATCAGTACCAAAAGCAGTATTTATGAAAGTCCACTGTAGCTATCGCTGAATACTAGCACACTTTTGCAGTTTATAATAGGTTTTCTTCCAGGAATGTCCTGTTGTAGCTGCACTCATGAGCTCTGTCCAACTTTCCTTCCTCTGCTTACAAGGTGGAAAAGCATCATAGCAACAGAGTGCTGCCACCCTTCTGTCCTCCGCAGGGACACTGTTTTCAGAGTGTAATATTAACAATGGTTTGCGGAGGCAATAGGTTCCAATGGTTCAGGTGTCATTGATACTTTTGTAAGACACTGCAATTAATTCACCAATAAAATGTCTGCTTTACATTTGAAAAGTACTCTGTTTTTTATTCTTGATCCTTTTTTAAGGAAAATTAGGAAAATAATTATGACTAAAAGTTGTTATACTTTCCTATCAGAATGCAGTGCAAAGACTTGAAGAATGAATTCCAAAGAGGAGGAAACACTCAGCTTTTTCCAGTATGTTGAAGAGAATGGCCTGAGAGCCTACAACAGGCTGCTTTCTCAGAACTTGGACCACGCCAGGAATGAGAGAAACAGGACATTCCTGCAAGAAAAAAAAGACAAGAAAAGAAAACAGGAGGAAGCCATAAGGAGGTAGGAAGACGGTGATGAATCCTAGCAGCGAAAAAAGGAGAAAAAAAAATCTATTAGCATAAAGCCACCAACTTATTACTTAGAATATGCAACCATTCCTTTTTATCCATCGTTCTTACCACTAACCTTGTATTACTGGTTTGATAGATTTTACCTAAGCTTAGTGAGAATAAGGATGGCCAAACGGTGCCTGTCATAGTGGTGCTTAGTTTGAGGCTGCAAAGTGAGAACAGATGCACCCTGGGATCTACGGACGACAGTTAATTGCTCAGTTACACCTATTTAGGACTCGTCCTTGATTAGAGGTCACTGCTGCTCAAGAATGAGGAGGGTGAACTTCCACAGAATAAGTTTCCGATTGTGAGGATAAAAATGAGAAAGAAATAGGAGAACTTTTTCTTCTGTTTTATATAGGAATACTCGTTTCATGGGTTATAAAATAGTTTAAACTGGAATACCAATTGAATCCTTAAATTAAGCCAATATGAAATGTCCACTTAAAGAAATAGTTTATTGCTTTTGATGTTTGGTTCTTTGAAAAGTTAACAAACTTTTGTTGGTTTCTGCAAAATGAGCCTTTACCAAAACCATCAGAATTAGCAGGTACAGTCCATCACCTAGCTACCCCAATTGAGCCTTGCCCCTCACCTTACAATACATGTGGAGCCCTGTCTACTTCATCAATAGTATAGGAAGACATTTGCTCAGGTGGTTTTACCAAAGTACGTGATGCACAATGACTGCTGAAAAAAAAAACATATTTCTTGTTTGTCTGCCAAAATATGTAGATTTAAATTTGAAAAGAGCACTCTACTCTTCATCTACCAGTTGTGTTATTTTTGCCCTATATAAATATATGTTTGGTTAAAATTGATTTTAAAGAACAGATAAAGAAGGTGAGAGTATAAAGTAGATTATATACCTCCTGTTAATCAGATCATTCCGAAAGATAAACCACCTTCAGTATGACAAAACGCAACCCAATATGACAAAAGCAAGTGCTTAAACTTTGTTCAGAGTTTAAATTGTGATCCAGTCATTGCATTCATACAATTCTAGGACATTTTTCTCATTAGCAAAGTAAGAGGTCCTACAAATTCAAAAGATGTTTTCATTCTCTATAGTGTTTCTGTTGTCCTCTGTATGACTCTTTATAGACAATTCATTACAGAGTGTTAACACTTTTATTTCTTTATGTGATCAAAGCTGATTTAGAGCCATAATTGTCAATGCTTCAGGCTTTTTGGGAGACAGTTAAAGTTTGAAATCCCATAAGAAATATATCTCTGTCCTCATTAATTTCAGCAAAACATTTCCCCCATCTATATCAGCAGTCTGATGTAATCTTGTGTAGCAACTTGATGAATTAGGCACACGGGATGTTTGAGAAAAGGGACATCTGCTTTCTTTTAGATTTTCCCACAGCAACAACATTAATACCTATCCACTTGAGTAGCAGAGTTAGAGATTTTTTAAGTCCTACAAGTAGGTCAATGAGATGGCCTATTTTTACAGTTACTGAATACGAGTGTGAGAATACATATCGTTTTGGCAAGTGGATGAGCACAAGCATGGATGTGCATGCAGGCAGAGAGGGGTACTTAGTGGGAGAAAAAAAATCAAGTAGCCAGCAGGATTAAATTAGGGGTACAGATCTTGTTAAAGCAAGTGCATTATGGTGCAAAGTGGTGAAGACAAAAAAGGAGAAAGTTATTAGAGAGAGATTAAGTGTGAGCTCAGTTACAGGAGATGTGTTCTGCCTGGTGACAGCTCGAAAAATGAAGCCCAATTGAATCAGCCTGTTGGGTTTGAGCACGGCAGAACTTCCCACTGACAGTTTCTTCCCTCATTGTCTCTTTTGTTGTTTTTTACCTGAAAACAGGAGTCACTCATATAACCACACAGATATTTAGATAAAGGGCATTTATCACCATTAGTCCCTCCCACACAGCAGCTGACAAAAAACAAAGATATATCAATTTCCCTACATTTGCACATGCATGCAAATTTTCAACGTTTCTTTCCCCTCCTTAACTTTTTATGAATGTGTGCATCCAGCTGCAGGAATCTGTTTCTTTTTTCTCAATGTACTCCTTGATTTTAAGACTGTTATTTATATACTTTTACATTGTCACAGAGAAAGCAGAGTTGCCTGACAACAAGTCAACTTCATTTTGGTCCAACCGCACCTGTGGTCGGTCCTCTAGCCAATCACTGGGCAAATATCCTAAAAATAACCCAGCCACCAGCTCTCCAGTCACACCAAGCCACTTATACACATTCAACACATGCAAACTGGAAATGCAATGAGATGCACACCCAAAACATTTGGGAAACAGAAAAAGTGTATTCCAATGATACATGGGAGTTATATCGCGCAGGTGGATGTTTTCTGTTTCTTTAAAAAAATAATAAAATTGATGAGAAATACCTTATAATAATAATAATAATTGTATATTAAGCAGAAAAAAAATCAGATGCTTCTCCTGCCTTGTAATGCTGATGTTTCACATATTGCTGCTTGCAGCATTATTTGAACCACCTGTGTAGGTTCTCAACAAAACTGGCCTCATTATGCGCACCCACGTGCAAATGTTAGGAAGTGCACATGCACTTTGTTATTGTTGTGAGTGAACAGCTTGTTTTGTGTACCCTGTTGCTAGGCAAAGGTAAGCTCCTGACTTGTAAACCCAACCTATAACACACTTCTGTTTAGCAGCTGGCCATGAAGGAAACATTGTCAGCAAAATAGCATCCATGTGTATAGCTTAAATACACATGTTCCACTTCCTACCTCTTGTGTAAAAAGAAGGTAATCATCCATATCAGCTTTCATTGTGTCTCTTAAATAAGGATGCAAGTAAATAGCAGAGTTGACGATTAAACATGAGAAACACACCCACCTACGCACACATTCATTTCAATTAGGGCTCCACGTTTGGCCATTATTAACTCACATTCAGGCTAATCATCCGTTTATGGGCATTGACTTTTTACAGGGACTGTGGCTTCCATTATGTTTGTTTGACCTCTGTTAGATATAGCAAGGGTTAAACTCAAATCAATATGTTTCCCTTTGCTCTGGTGACTTCCCTGCTGTTGGTAGACTTGACATTTGTTGATGGTACTTTGGCATCATTTAAGCCACTCACACGGGATAATTTAAGCAAACACTCATGAACTGGCACCTCTTTGTTTACCCATGTAAAGTAAATAAAAATGCTTTTGTAGGTGTTTTATTCTTCTCATTTTGCATCATGACTTATATGTTTAATCATCTATTTTTAAAGCTAGTTTTATTTTCTTCCTTCTACCCTCCCTTCCCTTGTCTTGTTGCTTTCAGAACTGGTGAGGATATAGCAACAGAAGGCAAATACTTCCGTATGGGCTCAATAACCATGCCTGACCCACAGGAGTGCATGCCCTTGCCCCACCTGCACACCATCGCCTGTGGGCAGGGCTTCTCCGTCCGCTCCCAGTCCCTCCACTCTGTTGGGGGTGGGGGAAACAGTGGAGGGGGAGCAGGAGGAGAGGAGGAAGTGGGGAGTCCCACCTCTAGGAAGCAGCCACCGCCTAAGCCTAGGAGGGACCCAGCCACCAAGCTGAGCATGTCATCTGAGGCAGTGGACCACAGTGCCATCTCCACCTGCCAGGGAGAAAGATGTGACGGTGAGTGTTGGTGGCACTTTACACCACACTACTGCAGATATATTTAGCTGTTCCCTGCTTTCCCCTCCTCAGCAGTGTTTCTCCCACAATGACATGACATTTAGTTCTTGACAGACTGCTTCACACTAAGACCACAAATTATACACAGCTTAAGTCGGGTGGCTTGAATATACATATCCAGTATGTGTACTTCCTTAGATTTTTACTGTAATATAGTAACATCTCTGGCATTTAAAATTAAATGGTTTCCTCTGTTTATGTCTCCCACCTTTGCGCTATATGTCTGAACCAAAAAGAAGCTGAGAAATAATGTTGCCATTAACATGTCCCATAAAATCAGTTTGATCAGAGAATCCATTTTCACTGTTTTAAACAACCTTTTGGTTTTTAGTTCATCTCCTAATTGACCCGCATGCCCTCATTCTCAACCAACTGGCAGCTTATCTCCTCTATTCCAATTACATACCTGTAAATCAACATCCTTTTTTCTATCTTATGTATCTGTTTGTCTTTGTAGTTAAGTATTATTTTGATCAATAATAAAAATCCTTCAAATTTCATAATATTGTAAATTATTAATTGGAAACATTACAATGAATCCTAATTCCATTAGTTCTGTATTCTATTAAAATAAACCCAGTTAGCTTTCATAAAATAGACAACAGCTCAATAACCATTTATCAAACTGAAATACCCAAAAGCTAAACCTTGAATTGTGTGTGCTTATCTGAAGTGTAAAATATTAAGAATCATATCTACAAATGCCAAAAGTATTGAAAATCTGCACCTTTTACATCTATGTCAATCCATAATCCAATACACCAATTGCCTACAAATAGGGTGGCCAGATGTCTGGCTTTAGGGCGGACAGTCCGGATTTTCATTGCACTGTCCGGCGTCCGGCGCTGCACCCAGCCGGACGTGTATTTGTCCTCCTTTACCCCCAGATTCCACATACTCCGTCAGCGCTCCGCCCCGCTCACGTACGGAGTACTTGTCTGTCATGTAAATCAATGAGAGCTGTTCCACATCCTCCGCTCGTCACCGCCCACGTACATCTTCTCCGTCCTTCACCGTCAAAATACGGAGCTGAGCTATTTTTTGCTCCCCTCCGGTCCGTCCAGATCAGACCCGCTATTGCAATCGCACCAAACAGAAAAAAGAATGTAGAGAAGACCCGGTTTGTCAAATTAAATTATAGTAAAAACAGATCGGTATCTAGAAATTAGAGCATAGTTTGTATATATTCCCAAAAACTAAGAGCAATTAATTAAATAATTGGATGCAGACTATTGGTGCTTCAACAGACCAGGAAGAAGTTGTGAGATTCTAGAGTGAATCTCACAACTTTAAAAGAAAATTCTTATTGCAGGAATGGATGAAGAGATGATGAGTTTGGAAGCAGAGAATAAACAGAGTTCATACAAACTATGTATGATCCTAGTTATCCCTGTTACAAAAATCCACAACAGAAAGAAAATATTTGGGCAGAAACTGAACATCTGCTGGATGATGATGGGGATTTTTTTAATATGTCAGATTCAATTAAGCGTTCACAGGTTTTATACAGGAATGAGGAGCTCTAATTTAATGCTCTTTTAATGCTATTAGAAATAATTTTAATGCCATCAACAAGTATCATGTACACAAGTTATTAGTTTACATGAAATAAGGAGCTGTAAGCACAATTCCATGACTCAAGTTTATATATATATATATATATATATATATATAGATAGATAGATAGATAGATAGATAGATAGATAGATAGATAGATAGATAGATAGATAGATAGATAGATAGATAGATAGATAGATAGATAGATAGATAGATAGATAGATAGATATATAGATAGATATGGATAGATAGAGAACATGGTGAAATCATCTTTACTCTCGACAGGCTGCAGCCATGTCATGAATTCCTCTTTTCCAGCCACTTTTTGCAGTTTGCATCGTCCTATTCTCTAGCTCTTTCTCGAGCTTCTTTTCCAAACAACTGCTTTATGATCAATTGCAGCAGTTCTGCGCAAATTAATTGTGTTAAAAAAATGGTCACTTTTTAAACACCACAATGTATTAAATAAATACAAATGCTGGGAACCAATTCTTTTTTACATTTCTTTAATATTTTGTTCTATTCAGCTACACAAGCATCCTCTTTAAACTACTAAGAATTGTGCTATAAATGTGACTTTACCCGATTCTTATGTACACCTTAGTAATTTATTGATATGCCGCACAATGTCCTCCTTTTTGGTGCTATAGAAATGGCCACCCTACCTACAAACCATTACAATGTCCTACTTTTTTTTATTGACATTTGTTTGATTTTGTTTCTTATAGCTTTTCATTAACTTTGCCACCCTAAGAAGGCATTTCTTTAAACTTTCTGGATGTGCCTCTGCATACTTTATTTTGTCAAATGACTGATGTGTGATAATTCTAAGAGGTTCAAGCAAACAATTTAAAAACTGCATCTGCAGTGACCATTTAATTCCATGAAGAGCAGTTTGAAATTACAACATATCATTGATATAGTGACAGCGATAATCCTCCGGTCTGTTGAACTTTTAACTAAACCAAGTGGTGATCATACCCCCCAAAGTGCTTTTTAAAAATATACTTAAAAGTCTTTATCTAATTATTGCAATTCTTGGCAAACAAAGCAAAACCTAATGCGTAAATGTGTGAAAAAAGTAAGATTTCTAATGTTTTTTGCATGCCCCATTTGCTAAAGAACTATTGCTTCAACAATCCCAAATACAAATATTTGAAAAAAACAGCAAAAAAAAGAACAAAAATTACAAAGAAAGGCTCAAAATGCTTTGAGAACTATATCTTGTTATGGCATCTGAAGCAAGTAAAGCTTTGACTTATTGACAATGTGGTGTTTAGGGAGTTACCCAGCCAGGCTGAGATTGGTGGGGATCTCCATGTGCATACACAGATCTTCCTGGGCACCACGGCAACCAGCCCACAGAAACAAGACCCCCTGCAGCCCAGCCAATCACAGTAGTGTTACACAGCTAGGGCCAATAGGGTCCAAAGATGCTTAGGTTTGAGCTCAGTCAGCCAATCCGTGATAGAGTGTGAGGGTGTCCCTAACTAAGGCGAGGTTTGCGTGCTCCATAGCTGGTGTTTTTTTGTGGAAAAGGGAGGAGCTTGTCAGAGTAAAATTCATTCAGGAGGAGCGATTGACCTAGATTCGTTTTACCCTGGAGAAGAGGGAGGGGGAGGGTGCTGCGGGTAAACTCATCCGATACAGGGGGAGGGGGAGAAAAGGAAGCAAGAGATAGAGAAGGAAAAAATATGCAGTAAAGGATGTTTGATCGGGTGATATTAGCATGAGTGCTGATACAGATCTCTGCACCTGACAAGAACAAAATCATTGCATAGTAATGTATTCATGGAGGAGAAAAATATTCAGTTTGAGAATTATTGCATGCTCATATACAAATTCTAGCAAATATTCACATAAAGAAAAAGGGAGATATCCTAAAAATATGGCAACTTTAAATGTTGCAAATTATTTATAAATTGATTCTTATTCTCATTGTACTGCACATTGTTTTAAAAAAAATTAAAACAAAGTAAGATAAATGTACATCCAAATGGGAAATTATTTACTTTAATAATACAGAGGCTGCAGATGTAACAGTAGCAAAGAAAGTAAACAAGTACATTGTTAAACTTCATTGAAAAACATATTAAAAAAAATTAGCACACATGGATTCAACTGTTTTCATGTTTTACATCAATTAATGTGCAGACATGTGCCTTCTGCATGCAATGGATTGCATATACTGTAGTAATGAGTGGTTAGTCATACAGTTACAGGAAATATGCATGCCTTGGGCCATCTGGTATCTAAATTATTAAAGCCCTAAAATCTGTAGTTTGAAAATTTCAGCTCTGTTTTTCTGTTCTCTTTCCTACACTGACCCTTCACTCCCTATCCCGGGGAAGGGCATTTCTATCCAAACATTTTATCGACTGACCCAGAAATACATTGTGACACATACAACTGAATGAGCCTTTTGCCCCATGCAGTTATCATACAGTTATATCTAGGAAATATGAGCACTGTACCAAAGCCACTCTGCACCACATCTAAAGAGATTCACTGCAAAACCACGTCACCACTATCAAAAAGAAGCTCCACAGTGTGTGTGACCCAGATACAATCCTCTCATTCTGCCTCTCTGCTATATATCTGACCCAGAAAATGCATATGCCTCAACTGTTTCCACAATTCATATGCAAGGTATGGCTCTCAGCATTATGCCATGACCTACAGTTGACCCTGGCAATGCAGAAAGGTCAAATTTCAATGGAAGTGTTTTACTTAGATGTTAATATGATACATTTTGCCTATTCTGTATACTTCTTACTATATTTTGATTTTCTTCCCTCCTTTTCCTTAGTTTTCCTGGGTTGATATAAAAAAGCTTGTATGAGAAACAATAGATTGATTTGAAGGATCAGATAACACAGAAAAAATGTTCTTGAAAAATGCTTCGCACCTTTGAAGCTTTTAAAAATTGAGAATTAATTAATAGGCAATAAATATTTTTCTGAATGGCTTAAAGCAGGGTAACGTTCACAAAAAAACATGTCAAAAATTACCGTTCAAAAGATTATGAAAAATTGCAAATTCTAAAAAACATTTCAAGGACAGCATTAGTTAGAAAAGGAAGGATGGCAACCTGAGTTGCTATGTAGAGGACTTGGAAATGGTGCTGTAGTTTCATCTTTTATTCAACAAGGTGTGTGCATCACCCTCCAATGAAACCTTTTCACACTGAAACAGCATTAAGCTGTGGAGAGGATTCCGTTTCACAGGTAAATGAGAAGCTAGTTGAAGAGTTGATAGACAGATGGATGGAGATGAATTCAGGTTGGCTAAGGCGAAAAACCTTATATAGGCTACAGTTTAAAATGTGTCGCCGCAGGAATGCATTCAGAAGGCATCTTAATGGCATGTTAAAACAGATATATAATAAAGAAAAAAGCATACTTCAGAGCTTTGTTTGTCACAATAGATTTGCTAATTGGGTCTTTTCTGTATTTTGCCAGCACAAGAATGCAATGAGGACTGTAGGAGAGTGCCACCCCCCAAACCCAAGAGGAACCCCAATACACAACTTAGTGTTTCCTTCGATGAGTCCTACATTAGGAGTCACGGAAGCAGTGGCGTGTGCCCGTCCAAGCCCCTCCAGCTCACCACATCCCCGTGTGAACGTAAACCCTCACCTCCCCAGAGTGATGAAAGTCCTACAGATGACTGTGAGGATGAACCTATTTATATAGAAATGGGTGGGATTGACATAGGGCTGCGAGAACCAGTGAAGAGTGAGGATGAGGAACCAGGAGAGTCTGTGTATGAGGAAATGAAGTATCCAGCCCTGGATGATATGGAATACCGAAGTGATCCCATTGGATGTCGTTCTGCCTGTCCCACCCCGGCACCCTATGACCCTGAGCCTCTCAGCCGTTGCTCTACGCCTCGAAACATTCCTCTCTGTGACATTCCTGCACCCTTTCCTAATTTACTCACTCACCGGCCTCCGCTGCTGGTGTTCCCTCCAGCACCAGCCCAATGCTCACCAAACTCAGATGAGTCTCCTCTCACACCTTTAGATGTAACCAAACTACCAATGCTGGAGAACCAACCCTATAGCAAATCTCCCACCTCTTCAAGTGAGCCTCCCACCTCTGCTCATATCCGCAGGGAGCTCACTGCTACCCCAACTCTCACTGTCTCAGGCCGCTCCTCTGCACCTCCTCTCCCCTGTACTCTCTATAAATCTTCCTCATCATCGTCCTATCAGCGAAGCCACTCTGCCTGCCCTTCACCAGTCAGTATGGGGCGCTGTCTTACCCCTCTGAGCTTGATGCGTACACCTCCATTTGATGCTCCAATTCCATTTCCCGGGGGTCTCCCACGGAGTGCCTCTGCTACCCCTCATGGCAAAGGTTCCCCGCCTCAAGAAGGTGTTGGACGACTCCATGGCTCTATGCAGAATGTGTCAACAAGTCGTTCGCGCACACCCACCAGTCCACTGGATGAACTAACAAACCTGTTTACCACAGGCCGGAATATGTTAAAGAAAAACACCAGTGGAAGAAAGTCAAAAGAACCTGGAGAGAGTAAGTTAAATCTCAGATTTGCTTTTATATTAAGGGTTATTATTATAACCCTTAATATATTATTATGAGTTTTTCATAATATATAACTACAATACTCTCTATCTGGTTACCTAAACTGTGAATAAATAAATAGAAAATGGTTTGCAATTGGATGTCCACTTACATGTTTAACAATTGCCTATCTGATCATTAAGCTTTAAAGACACAGCCATGCAAGAAATCTTTTGCAAAATCTGAGGGTATCACAAATTATAAAAACTCTTAATTTGTCTTATTTTTGCTAACGATTATTGACCTTCTTGATTTCAAAAGCTTTGTATAGTTTTCCAAAATTTTTACAAAATGGTTTCTGCAAATTCTGCCTTTGAATAATGTAGGCCCACAAAGCCAAGTCAGATACAGATCGTACGGTTTAATCTGAGGAGATTATAGACTAAAGCGGACAGCGGGTCTCTCAAACCAACTCATAGCATTATGCCATCAGGCAGGATTACTTTTAAATATGTAAACATCAGATTTAAATACCGATATTCATGCCACACTCATTCAAGATGCTGCCAAAACCTGTTTTTCAATTCATTTGCAGAGAAAAGCAGAATCTGCTGAAAGACAAGAAGATACTATAACTCTGAAAAGATATTAAAACTGTGACCTAGATCAGAATTGTGTTATTAGTATCTCTTGTCAACTGCAATTGGGAAAACACATATTCATTTGTTGTTCTGGGCCATAAAACATGTTGACAATTATTTTGAGCATGGATGAAGCAACCTTTTCAAATTTGCTTTTATGAATACCCCCTTATCAGGCAATAGGATGTTTCATAAATATAGAAATTATGGTAAGATAACAATAAAACATAGAGATAGAAAACCTGAAATGTGTAATGAAACTATAGAGCTTCATTCTTCTTTTGAGCTGTCTTTACAGTATGAGATATTCGCAGAAATAAAGCTAAAATGTATGTGTTTTAAATCTATATCTGTACTTTATGGTTTGATTGAAGGACTTTTCCCATAAATCATAAATTATGACACATAGACTCTACACCTCCATCCTCAGTCAATACTCTTAGCAACTACAACATAGCAACAGGGGAAGGAAGCAAAATCCCTGTTTCTTATTTGCTAGATTTTCTTCCCGTGGGTAATCCAGCCAATCACAGCTCAGGGCATGGTGGTCCACAAACGACTGTTGAGCAGCTGACAGCGACGTTGAAACCTTTTAACTCCCATTTTGTCCAATCAGCACAAACCTTTCCCATGGTTAAGCCAATCAGGCTGGCACAGATGTGCGCCTTGAGAAAGCAGAAACAGAGTAGGATACTAGGTTACCGATTGATTTGAGAGTAAAATCATTTTACTTTAAAATTACCTCAATTAAGGTTTTTTTCATTCACTTCTAATCAATAGTTGTGATTTTCAATGAAAATTAAAGTATTATAAAATGGGTGAAAAAAAACAGTTTCATTTTTTTTAATGATGTGCTCTCAAGGCTCTTTCCTAACATTAACTAGGATTTAGCGCCATCTAGTGGATATTAGCTAATATAGCAAGAAAAAAATATTCACTCAAACAACTTATTGATAATATGGTATTGGAGACTAAGAGTTATCAACCACAAAGTGAAAACATCCAAATTTATATGGAGCTAGAATAACTGTTTTTTCCCCTCTGCAGCTGAATCTAAGGTCAAGTCACACAGTGATTCCAGGCGAGAAGGTAAGGAACGCCACAGCCACAGCAAGGAATCCAAACGTGAGTCCAAAGAGCGTCATAGCAAGGAATCATCTCATCGAAGAGAAAAAGATAAAGAAAAAGACAAAGATAGAGGTGGCAGCAATACAGAACCTCCACTTCACAGACGCAACAGTAGAGACCGCACTTTCAGCAGTACAGACATGCCCATTGTCTGCAGGGACAGCAAGGATCAGTCCTCCAGTTGTCTAGAGCCAATCCCTGGAAGAAGGGACTCCAAAGACAGAAGTTGCAGCTCCTTAGATCCCATACCTTTGATAAGAAAAGACTCCAAGGACAGAGGTCTTAGTAATGGTGAACTGATGCCAAGGAAAGACAGCAAAGATCGAAGTGTGGGACACAAAATAGAATCTTCACAAAGACAAGACAGCAAAGATAAGGAAAAATTGATAGATCAACCTCACGACCCATTATTAAGACAAGAAAGCAAGGAAAGGATGAGGAATGGTATCGATTACAAGCATGAAAGCAGGGAGCGACTGCTGGATCGGCCACTTGAGCTTTTACCTAGACAGGACAGCAAAGAGAGAACCAGAAATGGTTTTGAATCAAAGCAAGACAGCAAAGACCGGGTCAGTGAGCTCCTGTCTCATCAGGAAAGCAAAGACAGATCTAGAAATGGACTAGAGTATAGGCATGAATGCAAAGACAATCGTTCTGATTTGTTACTCCATCAAGAGAGTGTAGAGAGAGAAAGAAGTAGCACTGAACATAAACATGAAGGAAGAATAGACCAGCCTCCTGAGATGCTGCATCAACAAGAAACCTACAGGAGCAACAGGGTTGATTTTAAGTATGAGGGCAGAGATTGGAGCTGTCACAACGGAGGGGACCTTCCTCCCGCCCTTTTTGCAAGGCAGGAGAGCAAAGACCTGAGTAGGACAGGCCTTGAAGTGAGACGGGACAGCAAAGACAGAAGTCTCAATGGCTCAGAGCAGCTTTATTATGACATCAAGTGCACCAAGAGTCCTCCTACAGTGGAGTATAGATGCGATAGAGAACGTGGGCACAGATCAGATAGTACACCACGGCATGATAAAGGAGCGAAAAAAAACATGGACATGTCAAAAGCACAAGAAAGAAATGGCAGCAGTGTTTCAGGGCACAATTCATCAGCTACACCTACTCACAATGGGAGACCATCCCGTAGCCCACCTTTGACAGCAGGAACTGGAAATGGTGAGTCCTTATATGTCGTCTCTAAACTATGGATATACAGTACATTGTGATCTTGTCAAATAGAAAAATTACAAAAAAAATGTATTTAAACTTTCTAATGACAAACAGGTAGCTGAAAGTTTATTAGAAAGTTTAAATGAATTAATTAGTATAAATACTCTGTTTTGAAAAAAACAAAAACTTTTTTTTGTAGATTTGAAAACAGCACCTAAGTATAGCCACTCCCCTTTAACGCCAAATAATCCTTCGCCAATGGGAACGCCACAAAGGAGAGCAGCAGAGACACATCAAAGTCAGGTATGCAGACATGTTACATTTTCTTCATATATATTCATATATATATATATATATATATATATATATATATATAGTATATTGTATTATTGCTTATGTTTATTTTTTAAGGGATCATTGTATATTTTCATACAGTGTCAAGTCATACGAAGTTGTATTTAATGAAACATCTCATATGCTTGTTTGCTTCTATAATATAGGAAGTAAATAGCAGCTGTCCTGTTAAAAAGTAACAATAATTAAAAGAATAAACAGTGCAAAGTGTTTTTTTTATAAGTTGAATGTTTATATAAACATACAGTCATGAAAATATTATTAGGCTAACCTTAGTTTCTTGAGTTTCTGTTTCTAAGGATGAATTACCTGAAGAACGCAGTAGACATGAATGAATGAAGTTGTGTTCTTTAATTTTTTTTATGACTATAATATATTAAAAGTTAATGATGTTTACAGAAATAACATTAGACAAACTTTTACGGTAAGTTAAACTCTAAAAAGCCTAAAAAAATCTGTACAACGACTAATTATTGAGTTCATGTGTTCATAGTGCAACTAAACATAAATGTAATTATCCATCACTTCCCTTCAAATCCTGGTCAAACAACGTTTACATTTTTCAGTTTTTAGACACAAACTACTAGACAGCATAATGTGCATCATACACCTGGAAAACCAGGGTAATTCCTAACAGCTAGAGATATTTTTTTAGAACAGATCAATCAAATAGTGGAAGTATTTATTATCTAAAGCAACTCAAAATTTAAAACCTGCATTGTTTTCTAAGCATTACCAGATAAAAGGCACAGAAAAGGTTTTAAAGTTGTAGTTTATGGAAGACATAATTTTTTTATTTTTTTAACTCAGTCATTTTTGTCATTTTTTAGGTCAGTGATGTTATTCATGGCAAGAAATACACTAAATGGATGTAAAAACTTTGTTTCAGGACTTTTTTTTGCAATCAATCAAATCCAAATTAAGTGCATCTGCTGAGTCATAAATCTATTTTAATGTGCAGATCTCAATCTATGCTGGTGACTTTTTGATTCCTATTACCAGGTAAATGTTCATTCAACCACACGTCTACTCAGTATGGGTGACTGAAAAGACAATCAGAAGGACCTTTTATTATTAGCCATTATATGATGAGCTAGTTTTAAAACTTTTGTACTGGGGTGTCTCGCTACATATAATTGGATCTTAAAGTAAAAAGATGATTTTCTGTGTTGTAAATAATTGATTTGTATGAATACTATCCAAAAACTCTATCACATGCAATTCTATATATTTGATCATGAGTTATAAATGTTTAAATGTTATGGGATGACATTTGCTGCACTTGGACACTACAAATATAGCTAAATTAATATGAATAACACTTTTGTTCTGTCTCTCAGATGCTCCAGATGCCATGGATATGCGGAGACACCACTATGCTTGAGCAAATAGAGAGAAAACGTAACCTTTGTTCAGAAATCCTTTCTAGACAGCACCCACACTTGCAGAGATATCTGGAAAGGCCTTCACCTACAGACAAGAATGACGACAAACACCTCGAGCGAAGTCAGTGCAAGCAGGAGAATGCATCTATCCTCGCTGGCTGCGGAAAAAGCAGTGGAACCAAAAAGATTCGCCCTCCACCATACCCAACACAAACAACTGTATTTTGGGACACAGCCATCTGAAATTTCAAAAAAAAGAAAGACAAAGGAAACCTTCAACCTCTTTACCACACAACTCTCACACACTCCTTCTCCCTTGTTTGTGGTACTGGGTCTCCACTGTAACAATGCTTCAGGGTGACCGCAAAGTGCACCAGAGGGTGTGATACTCGCTGATGTCAGGACTATAGTTGTTACCATTGCAATATTTCTGCTTGTTCAGGTTGTCACATTTTCTTATCATCACTGGTGATATTTGATATTTTTCTATTTCCTGTGACTGAACTCTTGTACATTGATTAGTAGAGTAGATATTCAATGATGAACAGATATTTTCTAAATAAAACAATGGGAAACAAAAAGCATAATAAATTATGTATAATAGATTTGAATGCAATCTAGTATTTGTTTCAATGTTATTTTTTGTCTAGTTTATTTTACATTTAAATGACATAATCTATCAATACTTGTACTGTAGTAACAATTTTTTTAATTCCCAATTCTTTGTGTGTGCGCAAAAACACTGAAATTCTGCTCCAATGCTTGATACTATATTCTTCACATTTTCACTGTTGTATGATAAGTTGAGGAGAGAACATTAAGGTGTTTTAGATGCCAGGGAGGCTCTCAGAGACTTGACAGCTATATTCTAGAATGTACAGCAGTTTGTACTGAAACAGTTCGTTTCATTTTAGTAAGTTGTGGTCAATAGCTTGCAAACTCAAAGCCCTTCTGAAGTGGTTGAGTTATTCCTCCTGTTAGCTCCAAAAAAAGCTATGAGGTTAATATTTTATTATATAGCGCATTAGGACACATTTTTAATTGTCTATGACCAACCAAAGCCTGTTCATGTGTCAAATCTGCTGTGCCAGTTTTTTTTATTTATTTTTTTTATCAGGGCCATATGGGGAATTTGTTAAGTGTGGGGCTGGAAAATGAGGCGCATGAACAGCAGATAAACAAGAACAGCATATGTGACAGTTTTACAACAATGTTCTGGCTTTTTTGATTCCTTTGCTCGCTGTTGCAAATGGGTTGACTTTCTTTGTAACAGAATAGCTGCATTTTAATTGGTTGAGGTGCAACAATAATGACAGCTCATAGGATGGTTACACTCAGACAGTTGGATACTTGTAAAATTATTATTGGGAGGAGTTGGTGAGTAATATCACCCTTTTAATGCCACACACACACAATGTGGCCACCATGACCATGTAAATAATTGATAGCAACAGTTAGCCAGTACAATCAAGACCTAAGCTTTTAGTGGATTTCTTAATTTTACTACAGATTATGATAGCCATATGCACTTGAAGAAATAATGTTCAATGTTAAGCTTATATATATTTTCGGGAGATGTTAAGAGTGATGAGTTGTGCCATGTTGTTATGTTTTAATTTGTCGGCTGGAAAGCGAAGCCTCAGGACTCTGGCTGTGTTCTACATGCAGTCATCTATATTTGGTTGTCTTCGACGATGTTCCCAATGCAGAATTGGTCGGCAACCACTTTAGAAATATCAGATTGTTTTAAGGACCTATCACATTGCAGTCAAAAAGACAAGGGTTGCACAATAGCCTTTAAAACATGGGCTTTAAAAATAGCGCTACCAATCATTTTCTAATACACGGAATCATGTCCTTCTCTTCCTGTTTTCACCCTCTACCTCAATCCCTTTCCGACATCTAAATTGGTCTTTCTTTTTTACATTAAAATGCTATGTTGACATAACAAATATCATCATTAATTTGGCCAATGAGCCAGTCCTGAGTGTACAACTGCAGCTCACTTTGGTGAGGGTTAAAGTAAAAACTTTACTTTGTGTTGTTACTGTATGTGTGTGAAAAAGAAAAGAAAAAGCCTGTTTGTGGGAGTGTGTGAGTGTGTGACTGAGTTTGTGCCAAGCCACAAAGGCTTGCATTTCGCAATTTCAGAAATGATTGTTTTAAAGATATTCACATTCCTCTATCATAACATTGATGGATGAAGGGTGGAAATGTAATATTTACGATGTACAATCTTTTTGTGTGTACAAACATGCACTGTGAAAAGGTAGAGAGAGCACCGCACTGTCAGTCCTCTTTGTGTGTTCTCGTTTTGCGTTACATTGAAAAAAAAAAGAAAAAGGGGAAAAAAAAGTCCTGTATTCTGATTGTCACTTGGGCTCTTTTGAAATAAATAAATAAATATGAATATAAAATCTACATTGAAAACGCTTTTCTTTGGCATTTTTTGCTGCATTTGCATTCTGCTTAGTAATGGTCAGAGAAATACCCCTGTGGACACTTTTCTTTTTATTTAAGGCTCTAGTTGCCTCCAACCCAAAGCTAGGCTATGGGAAATAGGAGGAGGTAAGATTCCCCCCCACCCTACATTCCACCCCATTATTATTTTGTGAACCTTGCGGGACACACAGTTTAGGTTCTCCTTTTTTTTTTGGCTTACTTCCATAGATTGGTAAAGGAATAGACACTGATGCTCTCTGATCTTTTTATTATCAACCAGACTTCTCTTCTTTTGACCTAAGCCCTTGTTTCAGTTTAAATTTTGATTTATCTTCCTAAAATGGGCTTTTTTTTTTTTTTTTTAGTTCTTGTAAACTACTGTATATATTATTATTAGTGTCATTAACATAGTCTAAAACCTTGTCAACAGCTTACAAATGTGTGAGTAGTAAGTGAAAAATATTGTATATTATATTTCTTTTATTAACGGTACAGTGGAGGATTTTCACATATTTATGAAAAGACCCGCCCTTTCCATAAAAAAAAACAAAAAACAATTCACATGCTTAACCCTGTACCTGCTCCTGAGAGGGACTGCCTATTAAATGTGTGCAAGAGCATGCACGAGCACATTTCTGCTCCTGCGCGCTCTTTTTAAAAAGTTGCTGTTTGCATCACTCATACAAGCTTACTTTCCAAAAGAAGATTTGCAATTTTTCCACTATCTCAGACTTACCACTGGTAAGTGAAAATGGGGATGAGAACATGGGATGGCTTTACGTAAAAATAATATCAGACTGATTGACAATAAGGAGGACCACTTATTTTGATGATCCACCCGGAAAAAGAACATCCTTCACTATGCATTTAACTTGAGAAAAAAAAGAAAACATGTGGCATCACCCTTTGTTGATCAATTTTAAACTCTAGGTGTCAAATCAACATACCAAAATGTAAAAATCAAAAAAGCAACAAATACATTTATAAAATTAGTCTTTAATTTCCACAATGATTACTGAAAGAATAGGACAAAACTGGTGATTGCAAAGAGTAACACACTCTGCTGAAAAGAAAAATTCTTTCTTTCCTCTTCGAGTTCTTGTAAAACAAGTTGAACTTAATGTAGAACACAAAAAGGACAGAATAATAACAGGTGGTTAGTGCTCTGTCAGCTGTTAGGTAGTGGCCTTAAATTGAGGTTGAACTAATGCTGTGCTGTCCCTGGTTTTAGTAATCTAAAATATCACAAAGGCGTATAAAATATTGCTTATAGTACAGAAAACATTAATCTCTGAGACAAACATTACATCGTCTGGCCTTAAATCGCTGCTGCTCAGAAGGTTTGATCCTCCCATGACTTGGGTTGAACTCCTTCGTCCCTCTTATAGTGATCAGCCAAAAACTGTAGAGGTTGGAAAAGTAGTGACAGGAACCCTGCGCACCTTGACACTCAATGAAGGGATGAGTTCGAAAATCCTTGAGGCAGCTACCAGAAGAAGCCAATGACTGTCCACCCCCGTCACCCACACCTGTGTGCTAAAATGCAGTTGTGTTAGATGGGAAGAGTTTAGTTCTCAAGGCATCTATAAACACATTTGCACTTTGTATGTAGCTCACCAGAAGGAAAGAGTATCCCGTCCATAAACTCCTCCAGCCCAGTGGACAGAGAGGGATAACTTGATGCTGACTGTGAAAAGGCACTGCAGGTGACAATGCTTCGCACACAACACAGCGGCTAATATGGAGGCTAACCTCCTGGCCAAATAATGGTCTCATGGGTATGGAAGCAGAAGTAGAAAGCCAGTAGGATTTGCCATTGCTACTTGAGTGGTAGCAGGCTTCTCTGTTGCAGAAGGAGAAAGGCATTGTGGAGAAAACAGGGAGACAAGAGCCTGGCTTGCCTGTATGAAAAAGATAATAAATGGGAAAATTTAACTTTTTTGAAACTATAACAACTGATTTAAGTAATGTAAAATTAGAAGTGAATCCTATGCACTACTTACCCAGATCTTCCGTCTGAGCCCTATATTGTCCCTCTAGGTGAACGAGACTGTAACCCACCCACAACTGGTTACTACCTGCAGGACACTGTGGTACCTCAACTGATTGGCTGTGGATAACCAAAAGAAAGCTTGATCTTGGCCCTTTATTTCCTGGTTCAGCTAAATGTCCAGGAGGACCAGGTGCACCTAAAGAATGAAAAGTTGAATGATTAAGAAAAATATATGCAGTGGTAAAAGCAGATATAGGTAAGGTGTCATTTCCATACAGTTTAATTTAACCCTGCACTTATGTTTTTTCACAGATACCTTTGGGAGGGGTGCATTATATCATTTACCTTGGGGTCCATTAAATCCAGAGACACCAACAGGTGTCAGTGGTGAACCTGGGGAATTCATCAACATGTATCCTTTTTGGTACTTATATTATTACTGTGTGTTAACATGTTTTTGCTTTTCTGCCACACTGTCACCCACCTGCACCTCTAGTTGGTCCATGGTCACCCTTGCAACCTTGGGGCCCAGATATGCCTTTTTGACTTTTAGGTCCATCAGGTCTCCTACCACCACTGTGATCTCTCTTATCTATAAGATCATATCAAAATATTTTCTCCAAGTCAGTATCAAGCCAAGAATCCTGCTGTTACCATTTATGCATTTGAAATTACCCTTTGGTTCTGGAAGGCCACTAGAGCCATGAGGCCCCTGAAAGCTTTTGCTGCCTGGGGATCCAGGGTGGCCCATTGGTCCTGGGTCTCCTTTGTATATAAGGCTTGTGCCTGGTGCCCCAGGTAGTCCAAGAGGAAAAGAAAGAAGAAAATACATTCAAAACCCTGATACAAACTCACAACTCAAATTATTTTCTTAAGATGGCATTGCTGCAGCACCTGCCAAAATAAATACAATGTCACAGTCAGCAATGGTAGTCAAAAAGCCAAATGCATCAGTACAAAGTAACGATCTAACAGGCCATATGTCACATGAGAAAAAATATTTTATATTACCCAAATGTTCTAGATGACAAATAGTCATGTAGTAGATAGCTATTAAAGAATAAGAAAACAGACCCGGAAAAGCATTTAGAAAACAGTAGAAGGATTCATAGGTCTAAATGCAGAATGGATGATTGAATACAGTATTTTTCGCTGCATAACCTGTAACGTCTTTCCCTTGGTTTTAATCAGGCAGTGAAAGCAGGGTGTTTGTCATTTTAATGTATAAAACTAGATCTTTATTTTTGAGATTTACTCAGTATTAAAAAGAAAAATATCCCTAAATATTTTTTGTGTCACACTCTATATGCCTTGTTCTACTTGCTACTTTCCCTCTTTGTATCTTTAGAACCTGTCAGCTTATTCAGTCCATCCAATTCCTTTTTCCCAGGACACCCTAATATAAAATCACAACAGAAAATAAAAAAAACATGCTAACTGTGCCTGATTGGTACTAAGAATAATTTCCTGTCTCCATAAGCACACAAGAACAAATTATTCCTTCCCAGGATATTATCGAATCTTATTGGGGAAAAATAAAAACGTCCTCACTATTGAAATGCAACTATTTAAAAAGTATACTTTCCTATATGTAATCACTTTTTTTTTTTTTTTAATCAGATGATGGTCACAACTAAGAATCCCAAAACCTACAAAGCGTTTGTATGTGTGTTTTTGCATTTGGGTATTAATTTAGGAATGCAGTATAGTTTCACATGTGGAGCCATGCGGGACGGACAGGCCTGGTAGTTGTCCTTTGTTGTCTGAAGGACCTCTAAACTCTGGACGCCCTGTTAGACTTTTGGATCCAGGACAGTCTAAAGATGCACATATATTAAAGAGGTCATAGAAATTTGCTTTTTAACACCCTTGGCCGTTTTTTTAAAGTTAAATGTGTTACTAATTGAAATGTTTGTTGTTATATCTCATAGATGTAATATTCCACAAGACAAAACAAACTGTAAAATGGACTGTGACTTGAACTTTACTGAAAAAATGCATTTCTTTATAAACAAGCTGTCTACTTGTTCAGTGCAGCCATTACATCGTAAGCACCCTCTGGTGGCGATAACAAACATAACCACATCTAGGTTTACATCATACAGTACTGTATTGAGTTAGATGTAAAGACATCTCAACATTAAAGACCTGAAAAAATATTTTCATATAAAGAATGAGGCTTTAAATCAGCTATACAAGTGAATGCATCTGACGTTTTATATATATAACAATGCATAATACATTCTTGGAATAAAACCTTTTTTTTCACATAAAAGGATTGTAGCTCTAACATACTGTAACATTACAAGTTTTCAATTTTTTATTTAATTTTTATTTTTGTTTCTACTGTAAAACCATTATCTAGTTTAAGAGTTTAATCTAAATAAAAAAAATAGATTTAGCAATAATATGCTCCCACAGATATTGCCTTTATTTCAGTAAAAAGGGATTTGGGGCTACTGATACCAAGACTAACAAAGGTAGAGTATCCACCTTTTTATGTCTTACCTTTTGCACCAGGAGATCTAGGAAGGCAAGATATACTAAGAGGCCCTGGTTGCCCCAAATCTACCTAGAAAAAAACAGTAATACACACTGTCAACTATTCTAATCAAAAACATGGCTAAAAAAACACATGCCAAATAAATTTACCCCAGTTATTTTTTTTATTTATTTATTTTTTGTATCAATCAGGACAATTGGGCAGATGTCTCAGTCACTGAGCTTTGGCTCCTACAGCTGTGCTGATACTGATGGCACAAGATAAAATTTTCATGTAACCCAACTTCTACAGAGAAGAGTAATTAAGACTGGGTGTTGTTTTAGGGACATCCAAACTAGTGACATATTTAGACCAACATCATAAGGAAGATAAATGCTGAAACAGCAAATGGGATATAGAATGTTGCCTTGAGTGGCCTGAAACTGTCGTTTAAATCGAGCACTATCAGATTAAAACACTTACTTCCAAAACCAAACCGGTACATGTATGCTCCACTCTGTCATCCTCCAAAACTGGTGTTTTGTTCAGGGGGCAATTTGAGTTAAAATTCAGAGTGGTTGATATACAGGTGCTGGTCATAAAATTAGAATATCATGAAAAAATAGATTGATTTCAGTAATTCCATTTAAAAAGTGAAACTTGTATATTATATTCATACATTACATACAAACTCATATATTTCAGATGTTTATTTTGTTTAATTTTGATGATTACAAATGACAACAAATGAAAATCTCAAATTCATCATATCAGAAAATTAGAATATTACTGAAGACCAATAAAAACAAAGGATTTATAGAAATGTTGGCCAACTGAAAAGTATGAACATGAAAAGTATGAGCATATACAGCACTCAGTATTTAGTTGGGCCTCCTTTGGCCTGTATTACTGCAGCAATGCGGCGTGGCATGGAGTCGATCAGTCTGTGGCACTGCTCAGGTGTTATGATAGCCCAGGTTGCTCTAATAGTGGCTTTTAGCTCTTCTGAATTGTTGGGTCTGGTGTATTGCATCTTCTTCTTCACAATACCCCATAGATTTTCTATGGGGTTAAGGTCAGGAGAGTTTGCTGGCCAATTAAGAACAGGGATACCATGGTCCTTCAACCAGGTACTGGTAGCTTTGGCACTGTGTGCAGGTGCCAAGTCCTGTTGGAAAATGAAATCTGCATCTCCAAAAAGTTGGTCAGCTGCAGGAAGCATGAAGTGCTCTAAAACTTCCTGGTATGTGGCTGCGTTGACCCTGGACCTCAGAAAACACAATGGACCAACACCAGCAGATGACATGGCACCCCAAACCATCACTGACTGTGGAAACTTTACACTGGACTTCAAGCAACGTGGATGAAGTGCCTCTCTTCTTTTCCTCCAGACTCTGGGACCTTGATTTCCAAAGGAAATGCAAAATTTACTTTCATCAGAGAACATGACTTTGGTCCTGTTTCTCTTTAGCCCAGGCAAGACGCTTCTGACGCTGTCTGTGGTTCAAGAGTGGCTTGACACAAGGAATGCGACAGCAGAAACCCATGTCTTTCATACGTCTGTGTGTGGTGGTTCTTGAAGCACTCACTCCAGCTGCAGTCCACTCTTTGTGAATCTCCCCCACATTTTTGAATGGGTTTTGTTTCACAATCCTCTCCAGGGTGCAGTTATCTCTCTTGCTTGTACACTTTTTTCGACCACATCTTTTCCTTCCCTTCGCCTCTCTATTAATGTGCTTGGACACTGAGCTCTGTGAACAGCCAGCCTCTTTAGCGATGACCTTTTGTGTCTTGCCCTCCTTGTGCAAGGTGTCGATGGTCGTCTTTTGGACAACTGTCAAGTCAGCAGTCTTCCCCATGATTGTGTAGCCTATAGAACTAGACTGAAAGACCATTTAAAGGCTTTTGCAGGTGGTTTGAGTTAATTAGCTGATTAGAGTGTGGCACCAGGGGCCATCAATTTTGAACCTTTTCACAATATTCTAATTTTCTGATATGATGAATTTGAGATTTTCATTTGTTGTCATTTGTAATCATCAAAATTAAACAAAATAAACATCTGAAATATATGAGTTTGTATGTAATGTATGAATATAATATACAAGTTTCACTTTTTAAATGGAATTACTGAAATCAATCTACTTTTTCATGATATTCTAATTTTATGACCAGCACCTGTAGAATAGATACAACCTAAATGCACCTAATTGCAGGCAGCGTTATCACAGATTTCTCCTCCCAGCGGCCGTAAGACACTATAACCACCACTGTTCCCAACAACCCAAACAAGTCGTCACATTCATGCTGATTTTGCTTTCTACCTTAGTCAGTTACGGTAAATAACATGCTGCTGTCTTTTTGCACACCTCTGATCTTGCTGCTATTTTCAAATATCCATTACTGTAAAAATGTCCATAGCTATATATTGGTTATATTTTTCTCATAGGTGCACGGTTTTATATTGTTAAAACACTTTACAGTACATAATTTTTTTGTTTATCTTTTAACTCTTCACTATTGTTATTCTTATGCATGTTTCTAAGGTCAGCCACTCCACTTACTTTAGGTCTGGAGGTTTTACGTTGAGGATGCACTAGCCTTTGTCTAAGGGTCTTGTATGGTTTGAAATGTACTGGGATTTTACAAGTGTCACTGAACAACCAACAGCACATTATGTTGATTTCTATTAGCAAAGAGTTTATGGATTTGAACGGTTAATCTTTCGGTTTAACCAAATTGAGGTGGTGTGTGAGGATGTTTTCAGCAGATTTGTAGATTTATAAAATATGAATCATGTGCAGCTACAAGTACACTACATATATGAAAAAATACTCCTACTTAACTGTTTAGCTAAAAACACTTTTACTGTTTACCTGATCTCCAGGATTCCCAGAATGTCTCATTTGACCTTGGAACCCTTCGATCTGACTATATCCTGGGGGGCCTGATAATTCTTCTTTACCTGAAACACCATAAAACACTATTAAATAAGCCAACCCAATGGCCCAATTTTTCCATAAGATCCAGACTAACCTTTTCTCCGTTTTAATATTTTACATAATCTTGGCAATCCAATGGGTCCAGCTAAACCTAGAAATAAAACAAAACTTATGTGCTGATAAAAAAAAATCCTATACAGTATATTCAATTCAACGCAATTCAAAAATACTTTATTAATCGCAAAGGGAAATTAAATACGTTGTTAAAAATTTGTTACACTCTTTTTCACAAATAGGGCAACACTTTAAAAAAGTAAAGGTTGATATATAAAAGCATTTATCAAATAAATACATGTTTTTCTTTTATTGGTATTTTGTATTTCAAAACATATTATGAATAAGAAATCATAGTTTGAAATATTTTTTTATAGCCCAAAGTGACTAATCATTAAAACAAGACAGAAAAGGATAAACTAAGGCCACTTAAACATATTCTTATATATATATATATATATATATATATATATATATATATATATATATATATATATATATATATATATATATATATATATATATATATATATATATATATATATATATATATATATATAAAAGCAGAAAGTGTAAAATGATTTTAAGTTGATGGAGTTTCACTTTCAAGTCAAAGATAGTAAAGGGCTTTTAGTTTTGTTTAATGTTTTTATATTTTCTAGAGAAATAAAGACGTACTGTAAAGGAATCCTAAACACAATCCCTTATATCAGACACAGACATCAAATTCAATATTTTATCATTATATGATATGTATTTTTTTTTAGATTTATTATAATTGGAATAAAAATCAGGCAATCAGCAGGGGATCCAAAGGTGTTTGCTTCACTCTGAATCAGATTTTTTATACCACCAAATTTATTTTACTTCAGCTGATCGTTTTAAATACTCTTCTTTCTTTTGTGTCTGTTTAGATAATTATTGGTTAAGTAGATTATTTAAGAAACCGATGCATAACTCCTCAAAAAAAATGTGAGCTACAGGGGGGATGTACTAAATAGTTTTTTGAAGGATCTACCTTTTTTATCAGTCATTTCTGGAATTCCTCCATTGCCTAGTGAATCCTCTTGTCTAGTGATTACTGAATCCTATTTCTCCCTTTTTATTTATTAGGCTTGAATTAGGCTACTTAGAGTGGCCCTTTTTCCCTATGTAAGCAAAACCTTTTTTTCTAAAAAAAACAAACAAACAAAAAAAAACTGAATCCACTGTTTAATTACAACAGAAAAAAATAATTTATACAGAAGATGACGTTGCAAAATTGCTTTTTGAAGAAATACATGCCAAAGCATGTAAAATGTGATTTACCTTTTTGTCTGTGTAAACCATCAATACCAGGGTCTCCTGCAGGACCAACTATTTCTCTTAATCCAGTTTGGCGAAGTGCACCAGGATTACCAGGATTACCTTTTAAACCGTTTTCTCTATGGCCAACTGTACTCATATCTCCTCTTATACCTTTCTCATCAGGGTAGCCTTCATGACAACACAAGATAAGCACAAATTAGGAAATATAGTTTTTACCCCCAGCATCAACTGTAACAGTGATGTGCTAACCTCCTGTTCCTTGTTGACCGGGTTGCTCTGAAGATCCATTAGGCCAAGGTGGGCTTAACATATCACAAACAGTACAGGGTGGACCTTGGAAACCAGTAGCTTGAGAGTCACGATTATCTTCAGAACTTCCTTTATGAGTTCTGGGTTCTAGTAGTCCTGAAATTCCAAGATAAAGTTGATCAAGAGATTCATTGTACATAAAAAGGCTCCTAGCTAGTTAATAATAGTTTTTTTTTCTATCTTCAAGAACAAATCTTATGTTTTACTGTAAATCATTCCTTTTCCCACTGACATCATTCATTTGTATAAAATAAAGCTGCAGTGCTTTTCAGTGTGTGAGTGTGTGCGTGAATGGGTGAATGAATGTAGTGTAAAGCGCTTTGGTCAAGTCTCCTGACTTGAATAGAGGCGCTACTGTATATAAGTACATGCCATTTACCATTTGCTTTGTTCAAAATGCGTTGTCACTGAAGCTTCGAGTGCATTTCACTACATTTCTAAAGGGTGTATTGGAGCAACTCATTTTTGACCGGTCTCCTTAAATACAGATAAGACACTTCACACTCCCACCCCTCTTCAGATTGCGTAGGATTTCATTCCCCCAATTCTCCCTTTTTTTTTTTTTTTTATATCAAAGGTACTGCTTTCCAGAGATGGGAAGTAACGAAGTACAAATACTTCTTTACTGTACTCATGTAGATTTTTCTGATAGTTTTACTTTACTTTACTACTAATTTTTATGGCGACTTTTTACTTCTACTCTCTACATTTTTACACAAATATCTGTACTTTCTACTCCTTACATTTTTAAAAATTGACTCGTTACTTTAGTTTTGAATCATTTCAATGGAGTTACCGTTATTATTTTTCACGTCATCAATACCAAATTCAATCTAATTTGATGGGAATCTACGTTGCATTTGACGCGCCACTACAAGATGAATCGACAGATTCGGCGGTATTCATTGGCGGCAAATCATTGCAGCTTGGTGGCGGTGGTGTTAGCATAGTAGCATGGACGACGAGATTGAAAATGAACACAATGGAGATCTAGTCCTATTGGCAGACATCCATTTAAAATGTAGGCAACGGCATGAAAAAAGTGGTTTCTACTTTCACTTTTATACTTTAAGTAAATTTACAAGCCTGTACTTTGTTACTTTTACTTGAGTAAAGAAGTTTAATCAGTTCTTCCACTTTTACCAGAGTATTTTTTAACACAAGTATCTGTACTTTTACTCAAGTACGGAAAGTGAGTACTTTTGCCATCTCTGCTGCTTTCTAGTGGCATAAATACTATTATATTAAAATTTGAAAAGCTGTAATCAACAGAACAGTTTGCCATTCAGTCCCACATATTTAAGCCAGAGTTTGATCCAAAGGAGAATCAAAGAAAAAGATAATTCCAAACAATGAAAATTGCGTTTAACACTTACGAGCTACATAAACAATGAAATTCTTAATCAGTAGCAGAGAAAACTTCCTAGTTGTTAAATATACTTTGTTTGGGTTATTGTTACTGACATTTAAGACAAACTACATGAAGGATATTTTAAAATATAAATTCTACCACCACACAAATGGAAATTTCTTCTATAGAAACTTAGTAAACAAGTTAGCAAAAACGAGAAACGGGGATTCCGCTGAAAATATTCTGATCATGTGTTCCAATGGACACCAAAATGATAGCAAAGCTGTTTATTGTATATAATAATTTGATTTAAAATACACAAAAAATTTATTTCTCCAAGGAGCAGGAGCACAATGCTGCTATTAAAGCAACAGCCAGTAAAATATATCAACGCATTGATAATAAAGCCTATTGCCATTTTAGTATTACTTACAATTTACCATTTTGCCCTGTTCCTTGGCATTCTGGCCAAGGTTTTCTGAAGCTGTCTATCACCCCTGATATACTTCGAACAGACAAAGAGGAATTTTCCCCTAAGATACAGTAGATCCCTATCACAAATGAAGGAGATTTAAATGCTTGTGGAATGTGTAATAATTTGTCTGTACACCAAACAGAGGGACATTTAGATGTATTTTCTTTTTGCTTTGGCATCCTGCATCTAGGATGACAAAATTACCATGAGAAAAAAGAAATGGTGGGTTAAGACATTAGTTGGAAATCCATTGAAATAGTGTGAAAAAAGCAAAAGCTACCAAAATATAATATAGAATAGAGAAGCGAGGGACTAAAAGAATATGAAACAGCCTAAAAACATCATCTGAAGAGACTAAATTAAACTTTTAAGCACTTTTAAAGACTACAAGCACACAACAAAATGTAGCTCTTGCATGAGCAAGAGTCTTAGTATTCATGCTAATTAAAATAACCTGATAATCCTGGATTTTCCGTTGTCCCAGTGATTTCATATGACCCAACAACTCCTTGTGGTCCAGGGGAACCAGTAGCACCTGGCCAAGCTGAGAAAATGTCTGCTTGGTTGCCCGTTTTTGCACTGGCTCCTAGCAACCCAGGATGTTCATCAGGGTCATTTGGGCTTCCCCCACCAGGACCATGGTCATCTGTATCTCCATTTGCACCATCAGAAAAAAGAAAGTTAATTACATGAGAATTATTGCCTTGGAAACAATGGTCCAATCAGCCCCATCTGACCTCAAATTGCAAACAAGGATTACCTGGTAAACCCTTAGACCCTGGTAAGCCAATGTAGCCTTCATGACAGCATGGGAGTGTTTTACCTGACAGAAAAGTCTCATTTTAATAAGAGATATTGGCTGTTGTAGAAATGGGAAACAGTATTTACACAACTTAAGAACTGACCTGGAAGCTCTGGGAATTCTGGATTTCCTTGTTGTCCAGGTTTGCCCAGTAGACCAGGGAGCCCAAGGCCCAAAGGACCCACAGTCTCTGACAATCCTTTAGGTCCATTAAAACCCTGAATACTTTTGGGGCCATTTAGTCCTGGATAACCAGAACCCTACAAATATTGACATTTGCATAAAAAGGTATAACCAACAGTAGCCTGAAAATTGGTTTTCAGTCTCATTGCAGACTATTTTAGATTGTTTTTTTAATCTAAACACATCAATTAAAATGCTTTCACTTCAGTCAATTTCTTTGTTTCAGATTGTCTGCTGTCCGGCTTCATTAATTTGTTTTTGAATAGATGTTTTTTTTCCTTATTGATATTATTGTACTATTGTTGATCTTGATGCTGCAAATATGTTTACAAGCACATATGCATTTACAAACATGTTTTCACCCGCTTTATCAAGTCAGGAGACTTGACCAAGCTTAGCTATGTGCATACATACTAGTTGACCAGGTTCTCCCAAAAAGCCTTGTTTTCCAGCCCCCTCTGTTCTTCTTGCAGGACCATCATGCTCTGGTTCTCCTTTAACCCAATTATCACCTTCAAAAGACAAAACAAAATATGTATGAAGCACAGGAATCTTTTCATGTATTGGACATTATGTACTGAAAATTACAGTCTAGAATTTATTTAGTACCATAGTGTTTCTTCAATAGAAAAAAAAAAACATAAATAATTTACCTTACTCTATTTACAAAATAAAAGAAATTGGAGAACAGTATGTGCTTTTAAACAGAATTTCCTTCTGTGAGGCCGATTTTGTCATACGTAAATGTCATACTGTAACATGTAACTAATCCTCACCTAAAACTTTTGATGTGTTCTAGGTTCTTTAGGTACATGTGACATGGTTTGGAGTTGTTTTTTTTCCAACAGTTCAGCAGTCTGATGGTGGTGGGGAAGAAGCTGTTGCGGAATCTGCTGGACCTGCATCTAATTCTGTGAAACCTCTTCCAAAAGGGCAGCAGGGAGAAAAATCCATGGTGGGGGTGTGAGGGGTCATGGGATGATGACATCAGAGGTGTTCTGTCCAACCTGGACTGACTAAGGTCTATTTGTGAGGAAGTCTAGCAGCCAATTGCGGAGGGTTGTATTGAAGCCCAGCTGTTCCAGTTTGCCCATTAGATACTGCTGGATGATGGTGTTGAAAGCTGAACTGAAGTCCAGGAACAGCATCTGCACATGGGTGTTCTTCTCCTCCAGGTGTGCCAGGATCAGGTGTAGAGCAGAGGAGATGGCGTCCTCAGTGGAGCGGTTCCGTCGGTAGGCAAACTGGAATGGCTCAGATGTTGGGGGGAGACTGGAGATGATGTTTTCTTTAACCAGCCTTTCAAATTACTTCATCAGGATTGGAGTCAGTGCGACAGGCCGATAGTCATTGAATGAGGAGACGTGTGGCATCATTAGGACCGGAATAATGGTGGCAGACATGAAGCATGCTGGCACTATGGATTGGTCCAGCGAGGTGTTAAAAATGTCTGTGAGGACACCAGCCAACTGATCTGCACACTCCTTATACATCCGCCCAGCTATGTTATCAGGCCCTGGGGCCTTCCTTGGATTGAATCTCCTCAGAGTTTTCCTCACTTCAGCTACGTCCAGGTTGAGTGCCTCATCTCCCTGATGTGGAACAGCTGTCACTGCTGGAGTGCTGTTTAGTGCCTCAAACCTTCCAAAGAAATGTTTTAGTTCACTCAGCATTCAGCTGAGCTAAATGCATTTAGGCTGACACAGTCATGGCACACTCATCCATATTTTTTTGTTGTTGTCATATGTAGCAGAAGCTTTGAACATTTTCCAGTGAGTATTCATAACAGTCCTAGCATCATTTGGACTGGGCATCATAAGCCATCATTCTTTTCTGATTTAAGCTCTGCCTTGCTCGTCAAACATTAAACATTTCTGATGAAGATTTTAAGTCATCCAGGTCATAGTCATTCCGTAAAAGTAAAAAAAAAAAAAAAAAAAAAAACTATCTACTGGACTTGGTTTCCAAGATTTGAAGACGTTTCGCTTCCCCTCCAGGAAGCTTTCTCAATTCAAATGTCTGGATCTGCAGTGAGTTTAAGTCTTTATAGAGACAAGGCCTTGTATTGCTTGGACACATGCAAATGGTAACCGACGACGAGTGGGTCATTTGGTGCGATTTTTAGTCTGTAATACCTGAAACCTGTCTATGATTGTTAAGGGTCGGTCGTTAAGGAGGTATTGTTCACCGGCTGAAGAGGGGAGGTACTTTGTTCGTCTGTGATGGGGTGGGGGGTGTGGTGATATCTGGAAGGGATCATCTCTATGACTGAATTGTAAGTTTTTGGAAGTAGGAATCTGAGTCCACCACCTCTGTTTAAAGTTGTTTTTTTTTTCTCTTAACATAGATGGCTTCCTTCACGCCCCTCTCAAACCACCTATTTTCTTTATCCAGAATGTGAACATTCTGGTCCTCAAAAGAATGTCCTTTGTCCACAAGGTGTAGGTGTACTGCAGAGTCTTGTCCAGAGGAGGCCGCTCTTCTGTGTTGGGCCATGCGTCTGTGGAGAGGTTGTTTGGTTTCTCCAATATAAAGATCAGAGCATTCCTCGCTGCACTGAACAGCATATACCACTCCGATCATATTCGGTCTGGGGGTTTTATCTTTAGGATGCACTAGTCTGAGCTAGACATGTTCTCTTGCTTACAATGCAAACAAAATTAAACCTAGGTAAATGTTAATATTGTAATTTTTAAAAAGTTTTTTTCACATAAAAAGATACAGATTCATTTCCTATTCCTATTACAGATTTCTACTCTTGATGTTTTTAGATCAGCATGTTCGGCAAAAATACATTTGCTTTTGTGTACATAGAGAGACAAATTACCTTTAGCTTCTTTAAAGCTCTTGTTTCCTGACAGCTCTTTGGGTCCATCCTCACCAGGTTCCCCAAGGGAACTAGGCTTGCAATAAGAATCTGTGAGATAAACAAATCAGAGACGTTGACTAACTATAAACTGTGTCTGCAGAGGATTTCTTTTATTTATTTATTTTGATGACATGAATTATTATTTAGAAGAATTACTTGCACATCCTGGTTGGATCCCAGCACAAATATCACACCATTCCAAAAAAAAAAAAAAAAAATACATAAAAAAAACAGAAATTTTGTGCAAAATAGCGACACAAAGAAAGTTAAAAAATAACCATTTATTCAAAAATCTGTATATGTATTAGTAAAATATGTTTGATGTTGTGTATAACTTGAGGACCAGGGTGGCTTTTGGCACCTTTTGTTGCTTGGGTTCCCTTTGTTCCCAGAATAAAAATGACTTTATTTGAATCAAATATCCGTGGTTCTCCCTTTTGGCCCTTTTCTCCAGGGACACCTGGCTGAACAGGTGAATCACGCAACTCTAGAACAGTAATGAAAATAATGTGAGAATTTACATGGGAAAGACAGTTTCTTGCAGCTTTTATAGAACATTTTTGCATTTTCACAAACTTCTTATTTTAAACAGAACTTTCTTGAACAGAAGTGGAATTTGGTCAAACAAAACAAGTGATATTACCAGCACACATCCTTTTGTAGAAATTTAATGCACACATCTTGTTTGTAAGACTGATTTGCTAGTATATATGAAGGTTTTAGTTTGTGACCTTATTTTTGTACAAGATACTGCTTATAAATGCTTGATCTGACGTAAAAATATGTCCTTTGTTATGAAAATCACCAGTGAATTGTGAAGTCATCCAAGATGGCATCTGTAGCGTAGAAGTACACATATTTAGGTGTAACTAAAGGTAATCTAAACTGTAACAATGCAGCTTTTGACTGTATACTATGTTCTACTTTGAATTTCATCAAACCTGCTGACAAAGTTAATCAGGCTTTAGAAGGCGTGACATGAGAAAGGTGGTAGATTGCTCTTGCATCAGTGTTTTAAACGTTTACCTGATAACCCTGGGGGGCCCGGCGGCCCAGGAATGCCCTTAAACCCAGGCTCCTCTGGCAGCTCAGATACACCTGGATGACCACGGTCTCCTTTGGCACCTTAAGCATATAAACATAGAACAACAACAAAAAATTTATTTTGGTTCTCTGATATGAAAGATCTTTGCATTCTAAGAGGAAGGAAAACACTTGGCAGTTTTGTGATAAATTTTAACTGTGTGTGATGGAATGTCATTATTTGATTCTTCAAATGCTATTTGGTAAAACATTAAGAGGGAGCATAGTACATTTCTATCAAGTATCAATCTCTCAGTTTGTCTGTTTAGAAAGAAGACAATTATTTATTTATTTTTATTTTTGATGTAAAACATAATTAAGCTGAATAACAGTTTCAGTGAGTTACACATCTCAAATGGTTATTATAAAAAGAAAATACTTGTAAGATAATATGATTAATATAAGTATGATAAAGCAATATTCAAATTTTCAATTACAGAACGATCAACTCACCGTATTTCAATATTTTTGGTATTTCCTCTTAATGTTCTCATGGGAAAATTGCAAAGCTATTTATAATCTGGGCTTACCTCTCATGGGACTTTCGTAATGATACTGCGAAGGTCCAGGGAGACCCGAATCTCCTGTCCAATCCTGTTGACATGAAACACATTAGGTATAATTTATAATTATAAATAGTGGGTTGTTGAAGTTGTATTACATAATATTGTACTGTTTCACTAAATAGTCACCAGGGGGCAGTACTTAACATCACATTTTTTCCTATTTTGACAGTTTTTTTCAAATACATTAGAATCTAGATTCTGATGAGGATAGTTTGTGAGATTACAGTTACAGTATAAAAATAAACTTCAAGTGGGTAACAAAGAGGCTTTTCAATAAGCTCACATATTTTGTAATAAAGCTTTTCATATAGATGTGATATTCTAATATAATAAATGAAAAGTCTCTTCTATAAGGTTTAAGAAGAAAATCCTAAATGTAATCACTTCATATACGTTTCACCTAGCGATATAACCTACTTAAAGAAATTCACTTTTTAATGATATTACAATTCAAGCATCTGTTAAACATATTTCAGCATCTTTACTTTTTAGTGTGACTCTAGCACCTTTAATAAGAACATTTAACAGGCAAACGTATTAAAACCTTTTATATCATTTGCATACTTTTATGCCATTAAAATTCAATTATAAACCAACAGAATTATTTTCTCCAATTTTTCCAGTGCAGCCTGGAAGTCCTTTGACTGAAGGAATACACTGAAATCCAAAGCTCTGCATAGTAACCTTGCTTACATGCTTAGATTCATAAGAGTGTAATAATGCCTTAGGTATACCTTAGATCCTACCAATCCATCCCAACCAGCCATTTCAAGAATATCCTACAAATGACAAAATGCATTTAAAATGTTTTTTGTTTTTTTTTCTTCTAAGAGCCCTCAAAAGGATTTAAAATTTACTTGAGCTACCCCATCCCCTGGAATTCCAAGTGTTTCCTGCTCTCCTTTAGATCCTCTTGGGCTCAGGCTGTTGTCATCTCCTGTATCATGCTAATAATACAAAAAAAGAAAGAGAAACAAGTTTTCTCTCTTCTAAATTGCTCAGGACTAATTGAAGACTACTACTACTCACACATTGTCCCTTTGGTCCACATGATCCTTTAAGTCCCTGAAAGACAGAGTGGCAAAGTGATATTCAAATGCTAAAGCTGCTGAATTATGGCTATAAAACATATATTTTAGATCTGTAATTAATGTATTGTGCTATATCAAGGTCAACCTGATTTGTCTCAAAATTATTTTAAACTTTACTACCTTCTTGCCCTTGTTAGCATGATATTCTTTAGGGAATCCTTTTCTTTCTTCTGGTCCTAGTGGACCAGTGGTGCCCTTTTCAGCCTAAAGTTTTAAATCAAACACACATATATGCAAACTGAACGGACACCAGGTTAAAATTATCCAAATAATAGAATGGTTTCTCACCATGTAACCTTTAGGACCATCAGGAAATCCTTCCGCGTCACCCTGCAAAATAAGTACAACTTTGATAACTGTGGGTCTAAGTTGGTTGCAAATAATTTTGGTATACAGTACATACAGGTGGTCATTTTACACCTTTAGGACCCTCTAAACCATAAATGGGTGGCTCATACATAATTGTGTGCATGCACAACAACGTTCTGTAGCAAATATTATTACCTAAAAATATACATGAAGATGTTTTTTACCTGAAGCCAAATAAGTCCAGGAGGGCCGTGAAAAACTATAGGGCCAATGCTCCCTGACAACGCCTGATTAATAAATACATAAACAGCAGATTTTATCTGATCCTTATACAGTGTCACGAAAAACAAACACATATTATGCATAATCATTACTCTCATTTAGTTGTGTGTAACTTATTTTTTGACAACAGATAAACACAATGTCATGCAATTGTGAAGTAAAAGGAATATTTTTTCACAGTATTTTTTACAGATATGACTCAAAAGGATGGGGTATAGTATTTTATTAGTATTTAGTATAATTTTCCAAAACACAGAGCTTTTTGTATGTTAGCCAAAATATTACAGTTTTCGTCAAATCTGACAAGAGTGCCCTCTCTCATTGTTGGTTGTTTCCGAAAGTTGCTTTCCAGCAAACTGCAAAAGAAATCTATTATTTCTTTCTTCCAGAAGAAACTAGCCATTTTTGCAGACCAGAGATGTGAAATACATGATTAATAGTTATGGGTCACAAGATTCTCCAGTCTTAGTTGAGGATGTCATCCACTGCTTCAGTTAATGAATTTTATTTTCTGAATTTTAATTTGGGGTATCACAGCAAGAAGGCTGAATACATATGCACACAATTTGGATCTTTCTTTGAAAAGTATAGGAAAATGCATGCTTTCTATTCTTTCTTCTTTAATATTAGTTTCTACTTTTAGTTGCTTCATCACACAAAATTGCTAATAATATGTACAATATATGTGCAAAGCTCTGCATAATGGAAAATTTATATATTTTTTTAACAATTGCAGAAAAGATCATCTGTAATCAACTCTCCCTAAAGAGAAAAAACAGAAATAAAAAAGGAGGTAATTAAAGTTATGATATTATGCACCAAATGCTACTTAAATATGGGTCATGCGGCTCAAAATCCAGGTTATCCAACATAAAATCTAATATTGTGGAATTAGAAGAATACTTACAGATGGACCTGGGAGAGCAGTAGCATTAATAGACTCTCCCTTACTCCCATTAGCACCATTTAATTCCTAATGAGCAGACAGTAAAATACTTAAATAAGAAGCACTGATGCTTTAGAAGATAAAGAAGAAGTATTAGTTATGTCATGTATCAATATGTAATTTTGTTTTTCACCATACCTGTCAGTTAAACTCATCACATTGGATTTGTAAAACATGCACTGGAAAACACTGCAATAATCTTTAAGACAGAGATACTCATCTTTGGTATTTGTAACTTCATATATACAAAAACTCACTGGGAATCCATCACGACCCACAACACCAGGCTCACCAGTAAAACCCTGAGACAAACAAATGAATAATTTCAAATAAGATCATAAAATTACACAACTGACAGATTTGTTTCTTTATTTACATAAAATTACAGTGTTAGGTCTCACAACAATCACTATTTATTTTAAGGCCTCTATCTATAGCAACTAAAGTATAAAGCATTGAAATGAACACTAACACAGCCTCCTTTCTTCCTTTCTTGGACCTTTGACTCTTTTGCTTCGATCCTTTCTATTTCCTCAGGAAGCTCTTTTCGTGCTCTCGGTCCTATTGAATTTTGTAGACCGTGCTTTCCAGGTTTGCCTGGTGGTCCCTACAAAAAATAAATTAATATTTAATACATTGATTTAAGCATTATGTTGATAATATATCAAAACAAAGAAAAAGAGAAAATGTGTTTTTTATTTCTTAGTGGCGAAACACTATAACCATGTTTCTTACCCGTGTATCTTTGACTGGAGGACACACAGAGCAGTGTCTGCCTCGGCACAGTACATTATTTCTCCCCTTAAGAACAAAAACACAGACAGTAACAAGTAAGCTGGAACACACAAGTATGGAAAGTTCCAGTGATTTTTGTTAACCGACCTGTTTACCACCTGGACAGGAAACAATACAGATAACCTTCAAGTATTACAGTGTTCCCAGACTAAACTGGTTACATAAGAGCCCTCTGACCTTGCTGTGGGTTTGCCTTTTATTTCCCCAGATTCAACAATATTCCCATTAAACATCCAGATGTGTGTGTTTTGTGGAAGTTTTTCACAGGCTGAAAGTCTGGTTCCCACAACATTCCCACAACAAGTTTTCTAAATATTTAGGGGAAGTTTATGTTATCTCAAGAACTAACATTGATTTTTCGCCTTACTGGATCAAAAACCACAAGTTTGATAGAAAAACATGTAATCTAAAACAGTTTGTCTTTTGGAAAAATAAATATGCAGTACTTTATCACAAATAAGATCCAAGATAATGTATGTGCATAAAAAGTCAACGTTTTTTTTAGTAGTATTTCTTTTTTTTTGCAATGAAACTGTTTGATTATTTCTTCTCAAAAAGCCTACATGTATAAAGTTCTTTTAGAAATGTTGGACTAAAAAGATTGAAATATAGTGGTTGATCTGTAGATTCTTACGGCTCTGAGCAGTTGTACATTGATGATCAGGAAAAGGATCCACCTGTGAACAAAATCAGAAAAATATTTTTTGAAAATTTTTGTTTAAAACAACCTATTTAAAAGAAATAATGTACTGGAACTACTACTACTACTCAGCTTACCGTCTATTACAACATATGCCTGCCCTATTCTAAATATGGAGACCAATTCAGCTTTGATAAATCTGATGATGAAATAATTGAAAAAAAAAATTCAGATCCAAAGACTCCTTTTGTGTGTCCAAAAAATATATGAGCCCCCTCAGCATACAGACTTTTAAGCTGTCTATAAAGATGTTAACATTGTTTTGTTTGTCCCCAAACCTTCACCGGACCCTCACAGAATAAGCTCACTTTAAATCCCCATGCCTTCCCAATCATTTTGCGTTGTGGTGCAACCTTCTGCTTCTCCGATCAGATACAGCTGCTTCACAGAGAAAACTATGTCCCCTCATTTGAATACAACAAAAAATAAAAGACAAAAATAACAATAATCCAAAAAAAAAACATGTTAAAAAATTGAATTCCTTGTAATAAATAAACCAGCTTTAGGGTGATAAAAAACGAAATATGATTATTATGCATTTTTCTTGTATTTAATTGGTACCCTGGTTTTTGGATGGAACAGTGTTAACAGTACTATAGGTGACAAAAAATGTTTTACATAGAAACAGTGATAGATGATACAATCTTTTGGAAATCGCTTTTTGATTTCTCTTTGGTTGTATCTAAGTGTGTTTATAAAACAAAAACGAATAAAATTGTGTGAAAATAGTTTTTTGCAGCAAATAGTGCACCATATCACATAGGGAGGGCAAGCATATTAAGCCCTATTAATTTGATAACTTTGTACCTCACTGCCTCCAAAAATGATTTATTTATGAAAAAGAGTTCACCTGCATGTATTTTCAATCCCAGAGTTGGCACAGCTCTGATGTTTGTCAGAAAGTATAGATTATGGATTATCATTCAGCATTCTACTCTTAGACCATCTTTCAAGATATTCCACTGTGTAAAACAACTGCAAACCTACTGTACAGCAATATTGCTGTTAGCCTAAACTGATAGGGCAACCAAAGGAATCATTAGAACATTAATAAGTGAAAACATTGATTGGGCACCTATTATGTATAGTTTTCTACAAATCTTAATGAATTTTGAAATAAAAGCCACTACTGAAGAGAGTTTTAAGAAGTTGAGTTTACAGTTTACCATTTAGGGAGACTACCAAACATATTGCAGAACTGCCCTGATGAAATGAGTAAAGTTAAATTAAATGACTTTCATGCAAAAGGTATAAAAAAAAGAAAGAAAAAGAAAGAAGTATCACCCTGCTTAATGTATAATATATAAACCTGGTACCGGTTACCAATTATTGAAGCAAATTCCAATGTGTTAGAGTGGCCCTATAAAAGTCCACATTTAAATCCAAATGAAATGTTTAAAGGGCAAGAATTGAAGTTGTAATGTTAAAAAGGACAATGTAGCTAGTCTGACTGAACTCATTTCTCTTGCATTGAATGGGTAAAAGCAACAATTACAGAAAAACATAAATGGTCTTACCAAATAGTCAAAAAAGTTGAAAAAGTTAATTTGAACATCATCTTGAATCTTCAGTATGTGTTGGCCCCAGTGCTGCTCCTCAGGTAGATAAAAAGGACATTATTCAACAAAGACAATTGTCATTTCATTTTAAACAGAGCAATGATAGCTTTCTAAGTAATAAGAAAGAAAAAAAATATTCTTTTCCACTTGTGACATCTAAAAAAGTCTCAAGTGGAAGATATTATAACTCACCAAAATACTAACTTCTTTCCATGAAGGACTGAGCACATCCCAAATAATCCATCTTACTGTCAACGGAAACCCAAACCACCAGTGTTTGTAGCCGGTGGGAGGTAGATGAGTACAAGGATATTGTTTGGGGTAAAGCTTCTAGGTAAGTTTTATCTCCTCCCTTCTTCAAGGCCAAGTGAAGCACCATCATTTTTGCTTTACTGGTCTGTATCAAGAAACTTGAAGCTGATATAGCAAACTGATTTTACCATCTTGAGGGTAAAAGTAATTAATGTTTACTAAGATTATGATGTGTGGAAACCTAGGAATGGAAGCATGTGAAAGGCAATGTAATCCAAATTTATTTATATAGCATGTTTCAGGAAAAAGACAGTTCAAAGCAGTGAGCATGAAAAACCTATGGAAATAAAACACAGAAAAAGGTGTGGTGACATAATAGAGCCAGAATTGTTGGACTACATGCAAACATTTAACAGTTTAAATAGCATAGTTACATTTTGGTGAAAAAAAAGTATTTTAGTGTTTCATAAATTAATAAAATTATTTATTTTAAGTTATTTTCTCTGGGATGCAGGGAGCTAGTGTAAAGAGTTTAGAACTCAGGTAATGTATTTATTATCTTAGTACAAGTCAGCATGTGGCATTAGCATTATAGATCAACTGATGCTGTCTTATTGACTTGTGAGGCAGTGAAGAGATCATTGCAGTTGGCAAATAAATACTTTTTTACTGTTTTTATGTGCCTCTAAAGGTTCAGGTCTGAGTCCATCACTACTTCCAGATTTTGGGCCAGATCAATGGTTTCTAGCTGAATAACTGAATAACAAACCTTTGATTTTTCCTCCTTGGGTTGAAAATGATTGCTTAACTTTTGTTTTAATTCTGGTGGAGAGAAATTAAGCACTCTCATGCATTGATTTCTTCCATACATCTCCCAAGCTCTTAAATGGGTTCATAGCCACCTGGACACATCATGATATTCAGCTGTGTGTCGTCTGTATACTTCTGATAACTTATGTTGTTGTTAGCGTAATCTGAGCATGTAGTGTCAGGGTCTAGGAGGTTTGTCTCCTGATTTCTTTTTTTTTTTTATGTTTGTGCTTCAGCATATTTTTCTCGGGTGAAAACATTGTGACTGGTTGCAGCAGCAGGTGTTTCACATTTACCTAATCAGGAGTGCTGTTTAAAAGAGGCCTGCTGCCAGTTCTTTGCCTGAGTGTTAAGAAGTGTGGTAAACTCTTATCACTCCAGTGTGAGATTTGTTTGTTGTTATTGATGCTCTCATTCCCAGGTTTAGTGATGGCCAAATGAATCCTCCTGAAGAAATGAAGCCTTCCAACCCAATGCTTTGCTGAAAGGTTCATTACTTGATGCTTCATTCATTGCTGATCAGTGACGTCTGCTGCAGCACAGAAAGCCTTTATATTTAAAAAGAATTGGAAATTGTGAAATATTGTCAAAATAAAGTTTTTTTCTTATACACATGTCATTCGTTTTTAGCTATTAAAATGATTTATACCAAAAAAACGTTCTTTTAAAGTTGGTGGGTATGATCACACCCGACACGATTTTCAGTGGTGTCAAAAGTACACATATTTGTTACTTAAGTATAAGTATAGATACTGCAGTGTAAAAACACTCTGGTAAAAGTTGAATTATCAGCTTGACCTCTTTACTGAAGTAAAAGTGAAAAAGTACCTGCTCCAAAAACTACTTAAAGTAACCTTTAAAAAAAAAACTGCCAGATATACTGTATATATGTATTGAAAGCTCAATTATTCGACTATTTCGAAAAATTCTTTGAGATAGGGTCAAGGATGAGGGAGGTCTTGTTGGTCTCTGTCTCCCTCTCCCGATACGCTCTCGCCTGGTTCCGACCTTTCAGACATTTGACAAGTTTGCAGTTTGAAGAACACCTGCTTGCTTCTGTTGATTTCCTTTGGTGTCAGCACGAATTTGACGAATAGCTAACCAATGAGTGTTTGCGTTATATGATTGATCCAATTACACTAGTTTTCAATAGATGTGGATGGTTCCAATGATCTGCATTGGATGGCATGAAATAAATATTAACATTAAACTGAAGACAAGAGTAACGAGTAATGTTTGCTTTGAAAATGTAAAGAATAGAAAGTACAGATACTTGTGTGAAAATGTAATGAGTAGAAGTTAGAAGAAGAAAGAAAAATAAGTAATGGAGTAAATATAGATACCTAAAAAGTGTACTACTGTAAGTACAGTAACAAAGTATTTGTACTTCGTTACTTGACACCTCTAACGATTTTACGCAAGGGGGCTGCATAGGTCTGACTGAGATAGACCCCAGGTCAATTTCATTCACACTACACAGCAATTTAATGGGTCTGGCACGAAGAGAGACACGGTTACAACATAAAACACATGCACTTTGTGCGAAAAACACAAAATAAAATATGTTAATCGCATGGAAACAGACACTTTTTTGAGTGGCACATTGCGTATATAGTACAGGGACAGACTTGTGCAAAAACAATGAATAACACATTAAAGAAAGAATAATTTATTCATGATAGGGTTTAAGGAGGACAGAAAACTGGTAAAGTAGTGAACCACTCTGAGCCTCCAAAAAAAAAAAAAAAAAAAAAAAACGAGGGACAGAAATCGCAGGTTATTGATCTTCCTGAAAAAAAAAAATAACTTCAGGAGGAGAAAAAATCTGATGGGTTGTTGTAAAATAAGGATCCTCTTTGAGCCTCAAGAAAAAAAAACAAATAATGAGTGGCAGACAGAAAAGGTAAGCTCGTAAGCTTATTTATTGATTTTTTTAAACTTCATGTCATCATGAGTTTGGACTTCCAGCTGTTCAAGGAAATCATGTTGGCTATGGAATGCCAAAATGCTAGTTACTTGTTAATTTTGGCTCAGCATAGCTCTGTAAGCTGCTGTTGCTCTTGAAATGCAAGTTCAACATGATAGCAGCCCTTAGGACTGAAATTTGACACTACTGTTTTACAGATTTGCAAGACATTCCACAAATGTGAGAAACTCAGGGCATATATTATTAGTCATTTATAGATTTTTATTAAGGTGTTCAGTAGGATGAGTTCTCAAATCAAAGTTGTGGTTTCTTTGTGGAAATAAATTCAAACTTGACCCTATATGCCATAGTGAAAGTGTAAGGAGAATCAAGACACCCCTCTTTTCTTTTTTTGATTCCGAGATTCAGTCATTCACTAATTGAAACACACACTCACACATTGATGGTGGCAAGCTACATTGTAGGCACAGCTGCCCTGGGGCTCACTAACAGACGTGTCTTCCCAAAGGACACAATGATACTCCAATATTATAACTTGAGTTAATGTTTGACTGAGTAACTTTTACTGGTACCCTTGTAAGATTTGACTATTACTATTATACTCAAGTACTACTGTTGAGTATTCTGTCCACCACTGCAATAAGGTCAGCCTGGTCATAAGGTCATAAAATGTACTGCATGCTGTTCTAAGCTCTCTGCTTTTTATTTAATAAAGGTTAAACTGCAGTTTTCTACAGAGTAGTTATCTTTTAGGAGGTAAAAGTTTTGGAAGCATCGTTAAAAAAATGTGATGCAGCACAATTATCGTCGCAGCTTCCCCCTGCTCCCTGAGCTAATTTTGTATCAGGTCCATATGAGACCAATAACTTTACCTTAAGACTTATTGCTTTTTCCTTTTATCCAACCAATCTAGGATCTTGTTTTATGCATGAAGACATTGATTACTCCTAAAGATGATTAAAACTTTAATGAAAAAGGCCAGTTACGTTATAAAGGTGATTGAATAGCGATATTTTATCATGTCATTAGATAATGCTTGATATTTTGGATCTAAAGACTGTCTAGGATGTAATCAGCTTCTTTATCTTTGGTCTTTAGCTGTACACACCAAGTATGGTTGCTAAGTTGGTTGTTGTCAGTCAACAGCAGAGAACGAAAATAGCTACATTTCTTAAATGTTTGTTTCCGTGACATGACCTGAAGCAAGCAGGAGATGGTTGACACCAAATTTTATCAATATGTGGTGTATTGAAAACCTGACTGGTTCAAGTAATAAAATAAGTCTGTGTGCTGCGTCCTGCACTAAGACTAGTCAAGTGTTCACCTGGGAATAACCTATCTCTAATTGTAACTGTTTTGGATACAAAATGTTGGAAATGTAACATGTTTGATTTGGACCCACCTGTTTTAGTTCTTTACGTGAGTAAAAGGGGATTTATTTTTGTATTTGAACCATGGATTGAGGTGGTGGTCAGCCTGCCCCATAGAACCTGTTTTTTTTTTCTTTTTTCAACTTAGCATATTGTGGTCCTGTATACCCCTCTGGCCCAGTGTTCCAACCCACATAGCTCCACCTGGGACTCCATTGACCCCACGTCTGAGGCTGCATCTTGGCCTCAGACATGCTCTTCTTTATCAATCCAGCCTGGAATATACAATTAGGCTTACTTATTGTTCTGACAGAACTGTCCTTATTAAGCTTCTGTAATCAAACAGTGTTACACTATGTGAAGGGAGACTACGTAGTCTTTCTACTCTGCTTAACAAATAGGTAATATAACAAGTGCATTACTAATAAAGAATAATCCTAACATTTCCTACAGTTTTTACTTAATGAGCCTTCTGGGAAATAAACCAAATTCAATATATTTAAGATTGGGAGCTTACAAATCTCACCACATAGGGACACTTACATTTCTAATCTGTCATTTTTTGTGTCAGTGGACCAAAAGGGAATAAATATATTTTTTTCTAACTCTTTTTCTTTTAGGAATAAAAAAAGATCAGATATATTTAGGTTTTAACTGGCATCAAGATTAATATCTGTCAGGGGGGCGTGGGCTACAAGGACCACTGGGAAGAGAATAAAGTTAGGTAATATTTAAAAAAGACAATACTGATAAAAATTTGTGTTTAAGTGTAAAAAGTGTTTAGTTGTAAAAAAAAAAAAAAAAAAAAGGAGGGGGATGGTGGATTTTTTTTTTTTTTAACATACATAGCCTAATTAATATAGTCTATTAACCTAAATGGTGCGGTTGTTACATGTCATATACTCTGGTCATTGACCTTGACCAGGGCACCTTACAGTAGAACTGCAGTCAGCTCCTGGACTGGCATGGCTATCACTGCCCCTAAATAGTTAGGGATAAATGCAGAGGACACATTTCCCACTGAGATCAGCTTCATAGTCATGGTAGGCCACTTCTTTGATTTTTATTTTATTTTGCTACGGCTGCTCATAATCCCACAGCCCGCCAAAGGTTGAAAGGGCAAAATTATTGCCTTTACTGTTAATATACAGTAGAACTTTTACACA